AGAAATAGTCATTTTATTACTTATTTCAAGTAAGAAAATAAAAATAAACAATGCACTTTATCAATGGCATATACATCTTCGCTAGCCAAGGGTTTCCGATCCGAAATCTACTCTACAACTGTAGAGTAGATTTCGGATCGGAAACCCTTGGCTAGCGAAGATGTGGCATATATTGAATATTACATAAATTAAAACATCATGGTCATTTAGTCAATTTAATTATATAATGCAGGGTGACCTCTTGGAAAAAAATGTCCTGGATCCGCGCCTGTTTTTTTTTCTTACTTTTGAAAATTCATATAAATATCAATATAAATATAAAATTTATTCAAATATGTGTGGCAGTTGGCAGTAAGCAGCTGACAGGTGGCAGTAAGCAGTCAGCAGTTGGCAGTAAGCAGTTGGCTGTCGTATATGGCATTCCATACTTTTCTCTCTCTCTTTTTTTTTTTTGAAATTCATATTAATATCAATAGAAATATAAAATTTATTCAAATATGTGTGGCAGTTGGCAGTAAGCAGTCAGCAGTTGGCAGTAAGCAGTTGGCTGTCGTATATGGCATTCCATATTATGAGTTGAAGCTTTTTTTTTTTTTTTATCATAATATGCATATTTCATGTGACAAAGCATTTCATTTTGGTATTATTTAGTATGACCCACTTAAAAAAAAACAATAAAACTTAGTCATAAAATTTAATGATGGGTTCTAAGGCTTCATTATTTCTAGTGAAAATTAAGACCTTTATTATAAAAAAAAAAAATAAAAGGAAAATTGTTCTCTTTTTTCTTTGATTTCCATCAGCAGATTATTTTATTGGCTCGAACTAGCGTAAACTCGCTTGACTTGTGGAGGTCCGGGATGGCTCAATTTCGCTATTCGCTTTTTATTAAATAATTCCTTTTAAATTTGTGGACCAGAGCGGCGGCCATGGTTGGGGAGTGGAGATGTTACCCAACCTGTATAAAATGCAACCGAGACAGTCAAGATTCAGCTTTCCACTGAAGTCCTGTCTATCCCGGCCAGCAGCTACATTCCCATGATCTATTTCGTGGGACAGTCCGATTTAGAAGTTTAATTCGTATTGATCAGCCTCTTTAATTACTTTTATCTGTAGAGCTCGCGTTCGTTATCTTTTGACTGACTAAAACTGCAAACTCATAAAATTGGTTTCATTCTTATATTTACTGCAATTTTTATTATGATACCTTTCTAATTTGGGTACCAACATTCTTAACTTTAGGACCTTAAATTTGCCACACACTCGTTTCATGATCTTACAATGTATATATCTCCGTTGCTCTCCCCGTACTGCTGCTTTCTCTGCCTCAGCTGCTATAGTTGATCCATGGCTTCTCTCTTGTAACGTATACTAGTATAAGATCACGAAACGGATGTGTGGCAAATTTATAGGAAACACACCTATCAAAGACAAACATGGAACACTATTGACTTCAGAAAAAGAACTAGAAGAGAGATGGGCTGAACACTTCCGCGAAGTTCTTAATCGACCATCATCCGATGAAACAGTTGTCGTACCAGAAGCCACAGAGGATCTGGACATCGACACCGAACCACCAACTAAGGAGGAGATAATGAATGCAGTCAAGACTCTTAAGAACGGAAAGTCGCCAGGACGTGACAATCTTGATGCAGAGCTAATTTAAAGAAGATCCTGGAATAGCAGCCCCCATCCTCCAACCACTGTTCACAGATGTGTGGGATGGAGAGAAAGTACCTGATGTGATTGGTGTAAAGGGGTGCACGTGATTCAGTTTGTCAAGTTCCTAAAGAAAGGAGCCCTGAGCGATTGTGACAACTGATGGGGAATCACTCTATTATCTGTGCCAAATAAGGTCCTGGTCAAAATAATTATCAAAAGAATGTCAGACGCCGTTGATGCTGTATTGAGGAAAGAACACGCAGGGTTTAGGAAACATAGACTGAGGATGTACTGACTAGAACTTTGCACTCCGCAACATCATAGAGCAGTACACAGAGTGGCAGAGACAACTGTGTGTAAACTTCAGGGACTTTGAGAAGGCATTTGACAGCATACACCGAAATAGCCTTTGGGGCATCCTACGCCATTATGATATTCCATTTAAAGCCATATATGGCGTATAGGGCTGGGCAAAAATATCGATATTTCAATATATTGCAATACAGTGACAAAATTATCGTATCGCAATACAATTTTGTAATATCGATATATTGACAATATGTTTAGATTTAGGAATTTTGTAATTAAATATAAAAATGGACGTATGAAAGTTGTTATTAAGCCAAACAGTAAGACAGAAGTTGTTTTGGTACACAATGACACATTCTTCGATGTTAAAACTGGAGTCAGACAAGGATGCGTAATTTCTGCAGTGTTGTTCAACTTGGTCATCGAGAATGGTTGAGGGGTGTTAGGATCGAACTTTTTCAGTTCCAATTTTTTCCAACACACTACCACTTACACTTTTGGATATAAAATGCAACGTGCTTGTTGAAAGTGGGGGCAGGGGCTAAACCTTCACCCAAATGTTCAATGTACAAAAATATACTGACACGCAAAAGAAACGCAACACCCTATTTTAGGGGGAAATAATTATGTAAAGTAAATAATTTTGTATCTTAAAATTATGAATATCTTCAATTTGGTAAATATCAGTAAATTAACGGTTGAACGATTTCCATACCATAACCGGAAGTCAAGTTTTAGTCTGCTTAACAGAAATCAAAAATTGCATGTTTAACAAAACATTTGGCAATATTATGGAGTTTTAAGGGTTTTTTACTGTTCATCATAAGTAATACAGCAATATTTCAAAAATTAAACTCTACTTTCGTTTCCCGAAACAATGCTAAGGCTACTTGAAAATGGCTTATTTACGCAATTCCATTGCTCCAGCCGGAAAATTTCAATGTAAAGGTGATGGAGAGTTGCTGATGCGAAATTTCACTACATTTCGCCTCAACAGGGTCTTACGTATCATACGCATTAAGGACAGTCCTTGTACCGGAAGTCCAAGGGTGACTACACTGCTCTAAGTTAGAGAAAATTCGACCTATTTACCTGAAAAACGGGCATTTAAAAATGTCAAAGAACAATTCCTTCGCTGAGATCTCGATATTATTGAACCTATTGTATCGTAGAAATTAAGATGCAATTGTTGTTTAGGGCAGTTTTGCATGTTTTACTTGAATGGCTGGGAGGGGGGTGTTTTAACAGTCATATTTTACAAAGTAAAGTGAACAGATAAACATTTAACATTTTTATCAAATCTCTGATGTTCTGAAAAGTGAATCTAGCCTTACTTTATTCGCTTTTGAAAATCATAAGATAAAAAATCAAACATTTATAAATAACTGCTTGTTGCGTTTCTTTTGCGTGTCAATATATTATCAGTCTATGTTATGTTTATCTCTACAAAAAAAACTTCCCCTCCGGTTCCGTCGCCTATGCCTATTCCCTCATAAAGCTTTGGCCTATTGCATGTATTGCGCTGGCAAAAGAACCGATTGCGTAGTTATCAATGTAAATTCTAAACCATGCAAGTAACCAGAAGTCTCTGTGGAGACTGAAGCTCTACTGAGTTGTTCCTATAGCAAAGGAAGAGAAAAGTACTTGAGCAGTTGGGAATTGAAACCTTATAACAGCAATAAATAGAATCATGATCCTTGATTAACCCTCTTTATGATCTTAGTCTAGTCTACTTGCATGCCACATTAATCAGACTAAAACTTTATTTGGAGTAGAATTTTGAGAGTATTTAACAGAAATTTCTATTTTTAGTAACCAATGCAATAATATTCATTGAAGTAGATTACACTAAGATACATAATTCTGTGTATCGGTTTTTGATTTCAATAAAAGGTGTTGCCGTGGTTACTAAAAATAATAATTTCTGTGAAATTGTTTAAAAATCCTACTCCTCCCACAGTTATGGTTTGATTTCAATATAACTTGGCACACAAGTAGACTAAACTAAAATACATAATTCTATTATCATTTTTTTTATTTCGAGGAACGGTGTTGCCGTGGTTACTAAAAATAGAAATTTCCGTAAAAAACATTCAAAATGCTACGCCTCCTACAATTTGGTCTGATTTCAATATAACTTGGCACACAAGTAGACTACTGTGACTACACTAAAATACATAATTGTTCATATCCGTTTTTCATTTTGATGAACGGTGTTGCCGTGGTTACTAAAATAGAAATTTCTGTGAAATTGTTTCAAAATGCTACTCCTCCTAGTTTTTGGTCTGATTTCCTTATAACTTGGCACACAAGTAAACTACACTAAAATGCATAATTCTATTTATCTTTTTTTATATTTCAATGAACGGTGTTGCTATGGTAACTAAAAATAGAAATTTCCATGAAAAACTTTCAAAATGCTACTCCTCCTATAGTTTTAGTCTGATTTCAATATAACTTGGCACACATGTAGACTAAATTAAGATACTAGTACATGTACATAATTCTGTATATCAGTTTTTGAATCGATGAACGATGTGGCCATGGTTACTAGAAAATAAGAAATTTCTGTGAAATACTTAAATAATGCAATTCCAAATACAGTTTTAGTCTGATTAGAGTACATGTATAATGTGGCATGCAAGTATTGTACACCGAGATACATGTACATGATCATTAATGTAAACCAACTTTTATTCGCGGCGAATTCATTTCGCCATTGACCGGGGGTAAACTAGTTTGCAACAATTTATATTAGCGATAAAGCCTATTAGGTTCTCTTTTTAATAGACACATAGTTTTTAAGAACCTGTTCGCGGCCAGAAATATTCGCAATGATGAGGCACTCACGAACTTCGCAAAAATTACTCGCACGCAAATAAAAGTTGGTTTACAGTATTCTGTTTTTGCTGTTCAAAATTTCAAGTCCCAACTGCCAATTTTCATTGTTTAAACTACAAACCAGTAGAGCTACAGTCTCGACACAGACTTCTGGCTTAGAAAAAAGATGAAACTGCAAAAGCTAAAGGTAATTTAACACATATATTTATCAATTTGCAGATAGATGAATAAACATCATAATCAAATAAATACAAATGTTGATCTGACATGACCCACAGAGCAATGAACATTTATCCGCTCGCATACAAGCTACACCAACATCTAACAACTTCCAAAAGAAGGTCACGTCAGAGGTCAAATTCTATTAACCAATCAAATTGTCGCTGGCAAAATTGTTGGAGATTTGTTGACGTAATCGAAGTGAATAAGTCTAGAGTTTTTCTGAATTTGACCTCTGACGTGACCCTCTATGGGATGTTGTTAGATGTTAGTGTAGAGATTATGCGTGCGGATCTAACATCTAATTTTAATTAGATTGCTTGAACATATCACCTTAATAAAACTGTACACATGTACAAGAGAATTTTTGCCTCCATCTTCATGTTCTTATTTTTGCCATTTTGTCATACAACCGTAAAGGTCAAAGGGTGAATTCTAAAAGTCTGGAGCAATTTAAGTTTGAACAACATTATCTTTTTTCTATAGCCATCTCTATGTAAAGAGCTAAACATAACACGTCAATTGCAAAAATAAACCTTTAAACATGTTAAATAACCCTTTTTTCATCAAACTTGAAGTTACAGACAAACAGACCACAGAGTACAATTTTGTTCATGTGCAATATAATGCTACATTTAGCAAAACATATAAACTTCATATACATGCTCATTAAATGCTACTGTGTACAATGTTGCTAGTATATATATTTTTTATTTCCCTCCACACAGTGCTTAAAAAAAATGTTATCAGTATACATTGAAAGAAAAGAGAAAATACTGAAAGGTGAACAGGTGTTTTTTTTTTTTTTTTAGTTTTAGTCTATAAATGACATTTTTTCATGTGAGCCTTGAGGGACACTTTGTGGTTGAATGTTTTTGAACACGTTTCACATTTATATGGTTTTTCACCTGTGTGAGTGCGCGAATGCTTGTCCAACTGTTCTTTTTCATTAAAACCTCGGCCACAGACGGCACACTTGAAAGCCTGCGTCTTTGTGTGGGTTCGCATGTGTCGCGTTTTGTTACGAAATGAAATTCTTTTTCCACAAACATCACACACGATATCTCTATGATCTTTCTCTAAGTGCTTTCGCTTGTGGCCTTTCAGATTAACCTCACTAGGGAAACCTTGGCCGCATTCTTCACATATGTAAACATGATTTTCATGCTTTACCTCTTTGTGAATTTTTAATTGATGTTTGGTTGTGTATGATTTTTCGCATACATCACATGTAAATTTTGCTCTACGATTTGAATGTACACGCAATACATGTGCTTTGATTCTCTGTTGATCGAAGACTTTCTCACATTGTGTACATTTGACGGTCATATGCATCTTCTCCACGTGTCTGTCAAGATTGAAAAAATAATTGTGACATTTTTTGCACTTTTTCCCTTTTGGGGGAGTTTTTTCTGTGTCTGTATCACTTTCATCAAGTTCAAAATCAGAATCAGCACCGTCACTCTCTTCTGAAGGAGCATACTCTGAATGAGTTTCCATGTGCAAATTAAGCTGACGATCACTGTCAAATATACACTCACATATTTCACATCTGTGTTCATTTTCAACAGACTTTTCTTCTGTGTCTGATTCACCAGATGAATCTAAAGACACATCATCATCCATTTCAAAGTCAATTGATTCCAGTTTCCTCTTCATAACGGCGTGATTTACTTCACTGTATCTGAAAGTGCAGATATATTTCTAATTTAATTTACTATGATTTAGATGTACTTTTATATACATTATTAGATTAAGATGTAATCTTGTAAACAGAACTTCTTGAATGAATAGATTTCCGCAAATATTCTAATAGAAAATTTGTATGCAAATTATCATTCAGCTTTGTCAGTCACATATAGCACATGTTTAAAGCAATATGAGCTGCATGTTTGACATCGGAAAATTTTATTGCAAATTTTCGATTAAATAATTCAATGACAGAAAAATAAATTATTTATAAACTTTTGTTGTTCATATTAATGATGGAATTTTTTTTATTAGCTTTGATTGAAGCAAAATTGAATTATTGTCGTCGTGTACAATAATGATTTCTTATATAAAACTGTATGCTCGGTTGTACAGAAATATTTCCTCGGACAGATTTTTAAACTTTATTTTGGACTTATTGGTCACAAGGGTTTAAATTACATACAAATTAATCATAATACAATGTAGCATATTTTACCAGCAAAATAAAATTTCGAGGATACAGCTCATATTGCTTTAATACCCATATGTTATGCAATAGAATGTAAAACATCCGGCTCTTGATCATAGAAGAAAAAGGATCAATTTTTTCTAAGCGAAAGCAAATACAAATTTAATTAAGAAGTTTGAAATGTTTGTCAACATGGCCTGATCTATAAATGAACGACAACAACTTATAATCAAGAAAACATTCGTCCTCCTCATGGCTTGTAAATTTCATAATTTCTCCAATCTATGACTGCCATGATAATCAGAAGTCTTAAGGTTTATACTGTAAGGAGAAAAATATTCCGCATTTACATATAGTATATTTAAGGACTGTTTTATACATAATTGCAGAAACCAATTATGAATCAAAGTACTCAGAAGTACAGAGAGCCGGGCTCATTTACAGAGTAGAATGCATTTCTTAGTACATGAATCACGTTCATATTCTGATGAAAAAAATTATTTCAAAACTATCAATATAAATTATAACACACTGACAGTGAGTTTTTCAATCCTAATACCACGGTCCAATTTTGTCAGAATCAGAATTAACCTGGTACCACAGCTGAATGTAAACAAACAGGCCAGTCTGGTTCCCTCTCCTGCTTTACCTCGTATGTGTAGAGAACTACGGTAACACTGATTATCAAAATTCCTTACGCTAATGAACTATGTTCTTTGACTTATGAAGTTTTCAAAGTCATTACTACTAATGTTTATTTGATATAGATAAAACTTCGTTTTATTTTTGTTGCTTTATTTAGAGTTTGTATTATCTAAAAAGCGGTTGAGAGTAAGAACTATATTTTTGCACGTAACTTTGAAATGGTGACTATGGGATTAACATCCTGCCTTGAACAGGATCACATAAGCCGGCAATTGCTCTTTGAGCAATAAGCCCGGCTAAAAATATACTTAAATTTTTGTAGAAGAATGTTAAACATTCCAAATTTAAAAGAGCAAGAGCTATCTTGAGCACAAAATGGCCCTGTCCTTATATCAATTAATCAACTATCACCCATTTCCCCATTTCTTATATCAAAATAAAGTAGACACTTGGTGCTTTCATTTTCTATAATGAAATTTCGTTTTTCAAATCCTGATATTGGAAAACAGATTTGAGAAATTGCAATGTTCTTGAAATTTGCAGAAAACAAGTGTATTTGTCTGACTACAATCAGCAAAGAATCAAAATATGAGCACAGCCCACGATCCAAAAAATAGAACATATTTTTTTATCTTAAGAAACAGGGCTTTCAATATTTATTTCCATGTTTTGGATCAGATGTTGTGCTCTTTATGAAATGTTGAAAAAATACTTCAACTTTAGGTCATTTGCAAAGGAATTTACAGGATATGAAGAAAATTACGCCTTTTATGATGTCATAATGCATTGACTAGATGGGAAAATATGTCAAACTTTAATAGATACATGGTCACCAACATTCCAAGTGATAAGTACTGCATTTGCAACCTGAACTGAGCGGTTTTGACTTTTCAGAAATTCTCAGGGCCAAATGAGGCCCAAAGTTGCTCTTGCTCTTATATACCCAGGTAGTTTTAATCAATTTATAGGATATTTCTGTTTCCAGAAATGGACTGTTTTTTGTTGATTTCTATGTATGAAAATTACCCTTCATCCAATAAAGTTGAATCTTCAGTTTCCACAGACAGGAAATAATGGAATGTGGAATTAGGGTCTTCTTCCTCTTCATCAGATAACTCGTCTTCAGCAGTTAATAAGTTACAGCCTACAGCAACATCCCTTGTGCGGACATTTTTAGCTTGTATCCATGCAAAAAAAATAAATGTTTCAATAGGTAATTTGACTTATGGCACAATTTTACAACACTCAACATACAGTATGTCTATATACATATTCACACATATTTCTTATTTCATTACCTTTGCCCTGATTTTTCCGCTTTCTTTGGGTGTAATTTGACCTTCTCGGAGGTTCTGATGAGGATCGCTTGGACCCAACTGTCCTCATCTCTTTAGGAGTCACTTGTCTACTCACTACCTTTAATGGCAAGAAGTAATTAAAAAAATTATTTTAATAAATTCATGTAAGTACTAGGATTACGTTTATTTAAATTTCACTTCACAATATGTGACATATCAAAATCATAAATTGATTACCATTTACTAAGTATCAGAATACATTTTTAGGTGTTTTTTTCTTTATACTCTTTAAGTTAAAAAAAATATCAATTGGTAGACTTATACATGTATATGTTCAACATGTTCAAGGTGAATCAAAAGTACATGTAACTTCATGCATATTGGTAGTCAGCATTAAAGATTACCTCTTGAACTGCTTGAACCTCGGGATATATTTGAGGGTCTGAGTGACCCAGTTCTTGTTTTATAGGCAATTCCAAGTGAACAGGATCTTGTTGTGGTGATTCAGACACTCCAGGACCTTGTTGCGGGGATTCAAAGACTGCAGAACATTTTTGCATTGATTCAGAGACTCCGGGACATTGTTGCGTTGATTCAGACACTCCGGGACCTTGTTGCAGTGATTCAGACACTCCGGGATGTTGTTGCGGTGATTCAAGGACTCCAGGACATTGTTGTGGTGATTCAGAGACTCCGGGACATTGTTGCGGTGATTCAGAGACTCCGGCATGTTGTTGCGGTGATTCAGAGACTCCAGGACATTGTTGTGGTGATTCAGAGATTCCGGGGCGTTGTTGGGATGAATTCACTGCTGATTCTTCATATGACATAAGGATCTATAATTGACATGTATATTAATGTAAGATGCAAGCCGTCCAACTTTGTGCGGCAACACATTTGTAATGTCATAAAGGGCTTAAGGGCAAATAAATCAGTAAATGTGTTCATACATCCAAATGTGATCACTTACAAAAAATCTTCACTGCTCATTCACATTGAAATTTGCATCCCTTATTTTAAATGGATGATGAAATGGCTCTGTATAATGAGCATGATGAGTGTAAAACTAAGCAACAAATATAATTAACAAAAATAAAATTTCTATACACCAGACTTGGTAGAGTAATGAACACCAGCACTGAATCAGTAATCAGATGCCCTAGTACTGTATACAGGGTTATTTTCGCCCCGTGTTATTTTCGTCATTTTGCGATTGCGGACAATTTAGCCCCGTTTTAAATTCACCCAGTCACAGTTCTGTTTAAGAAAGTATGCTGTGTAATTTGAGTTCGTCCCATTTTAAATTTGCCCAATCGAGAAGAGGGCGAAAGGGGCGAAAATTTCTCTGTATACAGTATGTATTAAAAGCTCTGGCCACCAAGCATCATCACCACACACGGTATTTATCCCTTAGTTTACTTACTGGTACATGAAATACTTATGCAATCCATCCAATCAAAATTTTAAGCATTACCAATGTAAAAATCAAAATATTATCATGCATTCCTTATATAAAATACATTCACTTTTCCAATATGATTTAATCTGACAGCAAACATGGACAGTTTAGGATCTGTCCCAAAAGCACTTGTTTTGGTAATAAATTCGTAACCTGGCATCACAGGCACTTGTTTCAGTAATCATTTTTTAACCCATAGTATAATATAATACTAATAAAGAGTTAAAAAATGATTACCGAAACAAGTGCCTGGCTGCCCTGGCATAGTTTAATAATACTAGATTTCATAGGGCAGGTCAATTGTTCCACTTAGTGAGTTTTGATGCTGTTTATGAAGATGAAAGAAAATAAAGACAAGATTAGAATGACATATATGCATAGATAAATCATAAGTAAAAGACGAAATAAAGTTTTCCAGTGCAACTCTGAGGAAGGAGATACTCAATGTTCTTAACTACTATAGATCACTAAATTTTTGCTACACCTTATTTTCGTGCGATAGTCATTGACTTTTGATTAGCAAGTCAAAATTTTCGCGAATTGGGTTTATTGCTCAATATTTACATTTCCAATGTCTTTGTCCAAGATAAAATTACCAATTGTAAATGTAATTGATTTCCTCATGAATGTTTTGGCGCGGTTCCAAAAAAACCACGTGCAAGGCGGGACAACACCTAGAGAGAAGCAGGCTTGGAGCCCGTGGATTGGCGGAATCAAAGCATGTAAATATAAGGAATAACTGTCAGATTTTTCGAATTCATGAAGATGATCAATGGATTGGCTTGTGTGATAATTTTATGCATAAACGCCGTCGGCGTTTATGCAAATTATCACACAAGCCAATCCATTGATCACTTCATGAATTCGAAAAATAAGACAGTTATTCCTTAAATATAATCTTAAGGAATGCTATTATCAGTCAGGGGCATCGTGGAATCAAGTTATTTTTAAAAATAACTTGTTTAGGTTACCTCACTTATATATGACTATACAAAGAAGTAACTCATTTGAGTTAACTCTTTAAAAGTAGAATGCCTATCAGTTTTACTAAAAAACATCAATATGTTGAGTTTTCTGCTGATTAAAGATGATGTAGGGATGAGAAAGTTGTAAATATATGTACTTCTTTTAATAAACTTATCAAACTTAATTTCTCCTGAGCAGATAGGATGATATTAAATAAATATCATGATTTTTTTAAAGGAAAAATCATTTGGTTTTATGAACATTTCAGGGGTCAATTACACATCTTCCGCCAATTTTGCCAACACTGAGACTAATTTTCTTATAATCTTTGGACATTACTGTACAATCTCTAAGTCTTATATTTTTTGTGCAAAGCTGCATATTTTTGTGCAAGAGTTCTTAAGCAAGGTGGGTTAAGGATGAAATAACAGAAATAAGTTATAATTTGTGGAATTTTAGTGTCCTAGATTGTAAAGATAGATTACTTTTCCTGTCTTGCACCATCTACCAGTACTTGATAACCCAAGCACAGCATGAATAAAGCTATTCAGATGCCAGTAGGTTTACAATAATGAAAAGTAAAGTGTCAATAACAGGAATAAGTTACTGAAGAAAAGCATAATCAGGGGAAGATTGTTGACATTTAATAACTTAAACAAATCATTCAAAAAATAACTTGTTTCCATGATGCCCTTGACTGATTATAAGCGAGAATTAAATTTTTGCAAGCAGATGCAATGTTCCCATTATTAACCAGAAGTCTCTGTCGAGACTGTAGCTCTACTGGTTTGTACTTATAACAAAGCCAGGATAAGAAAAGAAGCCATTGCCATCAGACCAAAACTGTAGAAAGAGTAGCTTTTTAAAGGAATTTCACAGAAATTTCAATTTTTTGTAACCAAGTTCATGCAACACTGTTCATTGAAATCAAAATCGGATGCACTATTTTATGTATCTTAGTGTAGTCTACTTGTGTGCCAAGTTATATTAAAATCAGACCAAAACTGTACGAGGAGTAGCGTTTTGAAAAATTGTTTACAGACGGACAGACAGCTAGACAGACGGACGACAGACACCTTACTATCTTACAAGCTCTTCTGGTCTCTGACCAGTAGAGCTAAAAACTGATTTACAGCGTTGAATTCAGATTAGGATACCTTCTGTTATCATTATTATAATAATACTACAAATTAAAATTTATTTTACCACAACAAGTGCCTATAAATCCATGTAATCTAATACTGATCATGCCGATTGTTTAATTTCAACAGAGTTTAGTTTGGCTATACATGTATATTCATTACAAAAATAAAATGTAAAATTACTCTTTGAACTTCTCTTTTCAAAAATGCTCGCCTAGGCTTCTTCGGGGTACTGCACATAGGGGTTCCCGACCCAGGTTTGGGTGATTTTGAGAGTTGTTTTGTGGGAACGGCATCCGCTAGCAAGTACTTTCGTGTCACAGTTTCTCCACACGATTCCAAGAACCTGTATTTAAATGGAAACGAATCTTCTGTGAAGTGCAGGGAACACAGCATGGAGCATTTGGTCGGCCCACTCCAATTCTTACGAGTTTGATGCACAAATTTCACCCACTGTCTTAAAATCTTAGGCCGATCAAATGGGAAACGATGGAGACTTGATCTAACACCGTTCCTTCCACTACAACCTCCTGCAACACATGCTTTAATTCGCACCATGACGTCAAACAGGAAAAATAAGTTCCAAAATTACGTACAAGAAAAGAAACTAACACTACGAACATAAACACAAACACTTGTTCTACAAGTCAAATAAAAATTCAAAACCAAATTCCTTTGAAATAGGCCGTACTAGCACAAAAATGCCACAACACTTTGCTACTTCTTTCTGGTCAAAATGGTAAACAATGAATTAAGTGACGTCACAGCTGTCACGGCCAATAAAAGGACTTCATCAATAAAAACCATTCAGGTGTGGATTGCAGTTTTCACTGTATATCTTGCTAATGCCTGCATGTATTTTGTCTCTTTCATGATCATCTTTGAACTATTTAAGTTTGAGCAAGTACTGCAGGAGCCCTTTAAAATAAAAATAGTAAAACATGTTAAGCAGCTTCTGGTTTAATTGGTTTAATACCGAGCGTTTTACATAAGCATACTGCAATACAGAGAAATTATTTTAATATTAATGTACATCTGGTACATATTCATTTCAGCTCTAATTTTGGATTCATTTTGGTTATGTTCTGTGGTTTTGGCAATAAAGTTGAAATTATGAAAAAGCGTACGACATCTTTTTTGTTATCGGAAATACTCATGTGACAAGACGTGAGCATAATATTCGGTGAGCCTATGACACAGGTGAGCTACATGTATTAAAAAAAATGGAAATATAACGTTATGCCTACTTCTGGCACAGGGGCTTACTCCCGGCGTGTAATAATCATTCATTAAAAAATCAGATACTGTAATCATGGTAATAGGGCCAAAATAAATTTATAGTTTGTTTGGAATTGCCTCCCACCTCAATGAAATGCCCCCTCCTGAAAAAAATTATTGGCCAAAAGTAGGAAGATTTTTTTTTATTTAATTAACTTTTTTTTGCCCATTACATGTATCATATGCACCATACAAAACACTGAAATATATGGCCACTTGCACACATCTGGGTTAAACCTGGGTCAGTGTAATCCAGGCTGAAGTTTAGCTCAAATTTGTTGATTCACTTGCACACCTGAAATACTCAGGTGAGATCAGCTCAGTATATTAATTGGTCCGCCATGTATCATTTCATTTTAATGTTTCTGTTTCTTTAGTATAAAAATGCTTCCCTTTCATTTCAAGATTATCTTTTTTCCATCTCTGCGATCTTTCGCAACATTAGCCTTTGCACGCACTCTCAAATTTCTTCACAAAGATTTTAATTGTTATACTTCTGGTATTTACACCATGTCTTGTATTGAATGCATTCTCAATATTTTCCCATTCCTTCTTTTTTTTTTTTTTTTTTTTTTTACAGATCATTCTCCCATCATTTAGTTTACTTTCAATGATTGATTTTCTTTCTCTAACTAATTTAAGAAGTACAGTCTTTTCCAATTCTGTTAAAATTTGGTGCCTTCTTTGATGTCATATTCAGAATAAATCCTGGTTTAACCTGCACTTATGTAAGAAATGCTTGAGTGAAAGGTCAGCAACCCAGGAACAGCTCACCTGAGTGCAACTTAAGCTGGGGTTGAGCCAAGTTTACTTGATCCTTAGATCAGTCATTAAACCCAGGTTACCTAATCTAAAGGTGTGCAAGTGGCCAATAGTGTCAGATCTATGTAAAATTAGGGTTTTTGTTGATGGTAGATACTTTTTATAAAAGTCAGAAAATGCATTTACTGTTCACAAAGATTTTTTATCAAAAATTTATCTTCAATTTCAAAAAAAAAAAAAAAAAAATTCCCGCCCTCCCTCCTGTGTCTTAAACCCTTCAGGCGGCAATTCCAAACAAACAATTTTTAGCCGGGCTTATTGCTCAAAGAGCAATTGCCGGCTTATGGGATCCTGTTCAAGGCAGGATGTTGACCCCATAGTCGCCATTTTAATGTTAATACGTGCAAAAATATAGTTCTTACTCTCAACCACTTTTGAGATAATACAAATGCTAAATAAAGGAACAAAAATAAAACGAAGTTTTATCTATATAAAATAAACATTAGTAGTAATGACTTTGAAAACTTCATAAGTTAAAAAACATAGTTCATTAGCGTAAGGATTTTTGATAATCAGTGTTACCGTAGTTCTTTACACATACGAGGTAAAGCAGGAGAGGAAACCTGACTAGCCTGTTTGTTTACATTCAGCTGCGGTACCAGATTAATTCTGATTCTGACAAAATCGGACCGTGGTATTAGGATTGAAAAACTCACTGTCAGTGTCTTATCATTTATATTGATAGTTTTAAAATATTTTTTTCATCAGAATATAAACGTGATTCATGTAAGAAATCCATTCTACTCTGTAAATGAGCCCGGCTCTCTGTACTTCTGAGTACTTTGATTTAAGGATGGCCTAGTAGTTTTATTATTTACCATGATTCCGGTATATGATTTTTTTAAATTAAATAATAAATGGCCAGCGTATAATCATCAGGGTTGATGGAACGCTCGACGCTGTAATATGTAGATCAAAGATGTAGATGTAGTTTGTAGATGCACACCGTGAGCAAGCCCCTGTGCTTCTAGATATGGCAAGAAATTGGTACTGCGTTTTTAGGTGATACTTTTGTACCCTAGGGTACATCCTTATTAAATGTATGGAGAAAAGGTTACAAAAAGGGTACACTATTTATTCCTACTGAAAACGAAAGTAGATGCTTCCCAGTGGAAGGAAGACTGTAACATCTATATAAGTAAAATTAAAAATAATGTAGCTCATGCTCAGGGTGCAGTGAAATCAAATAGTTTTAGGATAAAAGTAGAAAAGGTGTTATTACTGCTAATCATGTTAATAAGTAACCACTGTACCCATTGTAACCCGGCTACATTGACAGTCCTTCAGAAATTTTCTACTTTCAATTTCCAATGGTTTTGTACTGTACCCAAATTGTAACCTTATTGGTAAAGGATAAATAGAGGTGTACCCTAGGGTACAAAAGTATCACCTAAAAACACAGTACCAATTTCTTGCCATATATGTGTGCTTCACAGGGGCTTGTCACGAAATATTTATCTTCTTTGAAATATAGATACCCCTACGATAAAAATACATATGTATTTTTATAGTAGGGGTAACTTTATTCAAAGAAGATAAATATTTCGTGACAAGCCCCTGTGCTGTGCTTCTGGTGACTGTCATTGTGTCGATTTTTTTTAAACTTTAAGTGCAATGGCATTATGTTCACTTACTTGTAACTGAAAGCAATGCAGTGCAGTCCATAAGTTGTCTATACATAACAAATTAATTAATCATGGATTAGGCTAATATTTTCTTTGCCGGAGCTGCAATGTTGATCATGTTGATGCCTCCTTTCACCGGAAAGGTAATGGGAATTGGGTAAATATAGTCCGAATCAAAATTGTACATACCGGTGCGTCAATTTACCAAGTCGAAAGGAGAAGGCGCGTAATGGTTAGAAAAAAAAACACTCAAATAGGCTGCAAACATTCAACCTGCTAAAATAGTAACTTGGATCTCTTCAATATCTGTCGGGTAATACATGTATGTCAGGATTCCTGCTGGCTCAATTAATGAACTTCACCATAAATATCTTTTGTCATTTGTGCCTTCAAAAATTCTTCAAAAAAAAAAAAAAATAATAATGACCAATTATACTCCTTTTTTTTATAATTTTTGTTATTATATCTGGATGTTCAACACTTTTCAAGCATATTTGGAAATGTTTTATTAAGTTTGGAATTGTGCTTTTCATGCATACTTAAAGGTCAGAGGTCAGGCAATTTTACCAAATGAATAATTATAAACTGCAATGATGCCAGAGTTTTGTAACAGGAAAGGAGAAAACGTATGGCTGGACCAGGAATCGAACCCGGTACCCCTATATTTCTAGTCAGGACTGCTTTAATCACCCATTGAGCTACCCAGGTCGATTTCCACAGCCTGAACCATATTACATTCCTCCACCCCTAAATGCCCTCGAAGACACAACCGAAGTTCTTATTAGCCCCTAGCTGGCATGACTTTCACCTGCAAGTCCAAGGTGGTCAAGTCGGCACCAAATCTGTATAACAGGAAAGGAGAAAATGTATAGCTAGACCGGGAATCAAACACGGGACCTCTATATCTCTAGTCAGGTGCTCTACTGATTGGAAGGGGGGGGGGGGGGGGGGAGGCGGGTAGTGTGACCAACTATTTCAAAGGCAAGTTACTTTCAATTCCAATTTTTCCCCTAAAATTCCTTCATATCACTATACTATGGTAAAAATTGGGGGGGGGGCAACCATCCTTTCAATGAACATTTACTATAGTAAAGGTAATGTTGGGGAAAAAAGTGGGGGGGCCCCGGCCCCCCCCCCCCCCCCCCCCAAATAGGTGGACATGATGGAACAAATTAAAAGTACATGTAATTACTCTTTAAATGTAAAAGCAAAAAAAAGAACAATTCAATGCAATGTATTTTCATATGCACATATTAAATATGTATTGTGGCCATCTAAGATCATAACAGTATTAAATCATAACAATCTGTTCCCTATCCTTTAAAGTTTATATTCCATTACATGTAGCATGATTAGGATGATTTTCTCCTTAGTTTGGACTTTCACTAAAGCATGGTATTCTCGGCACTACACAATGGCGAATACTAGTATATTCTCATTGGTTAAGAAATTAATAACATCAGGAACTTTGAATTGTTGTTGACAACAATTAGACGACTTATGCCCCACCTCTGTGCCGTGAGAGAACTTTTAATTGGCTATTTCCTACACCAGTTGACATTTGCCTGCATTTGTATCATATGTATATTTCAACAGTGAAGGGAAGCTGTGTAAATTTCAGAAGCTAATTAGGTAATGTCAAGAATGCCATGCCTTACTGAAAGTCCAAACTAAGTGTGTAATGGTTCTATTTCTCAGCTAGAAATCCTAACAAGAGGCCAAGGGGCCACAGCACTCACCTGAGCACATCTGGCTTGAATTTACCCCCCCCCCCCCTCCCCCCTCCAGGCATTCATCATTTGAACAAATTAGAATCTAAACTACCTGAGGATGATTCCATATAAATACCACTAATCATAGCTTTGAAGTACATGAAAAGATTTTAAAAGGTTTCCCTATATATCCCTATGTAAAACTTGGGTCGGCCATTTTGGCCCCACCCTTGCCCCAGGGGTCATGATTTGTACAAAATTGAATCTAAACTACCTGAGGATGAATCCACATGAGTTTCATCTTTCCTGGCCAAGTGGTTCTGGAGAAGAAGATTTTTAAAGATTTTTCTTATATATTCCCATGTAAAACTTGGGTCGGCCATTTTGACCCCACCCTTGCCCCGGGGGGTCATGATTTGAATAAAGTTGAATCTACACTACCTGAGGATGATTCCACATGAGTTTCATCTTTCCTGGCCCAGTGGTTCTGGAGAAGAAGATTTTTAAAGATTTTTCTTATATATATTCCTATGTAAATCTTGGGTCCGTAATTTTGGCCCCACCCTTGCCCCAGGCATGATTTGAATAAAGTTGAATCTACACTACCTGAGGATGATTCCACATAAGTTTCATCTTTCCTGGCCCAATGGTTCTGGAGAAGAAGATCTTTAAAGATTTTTCCTATATATTCCTATGTAAAACTAGGGTCGGCCATTTTGGCCCCACCCTTGCCCTGGGGGTCATGATTTGAATAAAGTTGAATCTACACTACCTGAGGATGATTCCACATGAGTTTCATCTTTCCTGGCCCAGTGGTTCTGGAGAAGAAGATTTTTAAAGATTTTTCCTATATATTCCTATGTAAAACTTGGGTCGGCCATTTTGGCCCCACCCTTGCCCCGGGGGTCATGATTTGAACAAACTTGAATCTACAATACCTGAGGATGCTTCCACATGAGTTTCATTTTTCCTGGCCCAGCGGTTCTGGAGAAGAGGATTTTTTAAAAATGCCATTAATTTTTAACAAATTCATGATTATCTCCCCTTGGAAAAGGGCATGGCCCTTCATTTGAACAAACTTGAATCCCCTTCACCCAAAGATACTCTGTGCCAAGTTTGGTTGAAATTGGCCCAGTGGTTCTTGAGAAGAAGATGGAAATGTGAAAAGTTTACGACAACAACGACGACGACAGACAACGATCGGAGAAATTTTGATCAGAAAAGCTCACTTGAGCCTTCGGCTCAGGTGAGCTAAAAAGTGAAAAATATAGTTACATGTTTCTAAACTGATCTGCAACTCTACAAACAAAGTTTTGAATACTTCTCCATGAAATCCATTAGGCAACATCAATGAAAATGTTTTGTTTGTCGGACACGCTCGCTCGTATTTGAATAAATTAAACAATACAAAATTATCATGATAATATTCAATTAAAATCCCTGCACAATGGGAATTCCGTGCTGTTTTCTGATCCATTTCCGCTCTATTTATTGTACTTTAAAATCTACTTACACTGCAAATAAGAAAAAAATTAAATTGTCCGCTTAAAATTTTTAACACCCCACCTAAAAATTTCGCCCACCAAAAAGTAATTGTAATTGTATTTTTATTTAACAGCTGGCCCGCTCGCATCTTTTTCATCAAAAGTCCCATTAACAAGAAATTAAAGTGGTGTGGCCTTAGTAATACTCTTTGGTTGAAAATTTCATGGCAGAAATATTTCACATTTGTACTCTTAAGGAGACACATTCTGATTGTGAGCCTTTAAAGGAAACAATGTAAGACTAACTGTGGTTGATTGGTTTTATTCTGATTTCACCAACTCAACTAGGAAGGTTTTTCACTGGTACCTTATCATGTTATACCTCAGTAGATGACACTTTTTCATAAGAAAGTCTTTCAGGTAATCTTTGTCAGTGAATGTTTTGAACGCAATTTTCAGTTTTACTCCATCAATGACACTTTTTCATATGAGCTTTTAAGGAGACATTATGGTTGAATGCTTTCGGACATGTTTTACATTTATATGGTTTTTCCCCCGTGTGAATTCGAGAATGCTTGCTTAGCTGCTCCGTTTCGTTAAATCCTCGACCACAAATCTCACATTTTAGGGCCTTTGTCTTAGAGTGGCTCCGCTTGTGTCTCCATCTGTTTTGATATTTAACTGTCTTCCCACAAATGTCACACACTATATTAGGTAATCCGTGATGTGTACCTTCCTTTTCACAATGCTTTAATCGTATGTGAAGTTTCAAGTTATCTTTACTGGTGTACGTTTCTCCACATTTTTCACACATAAAAACATTATTTTCATGCTTACTTTCTTTGTGCATCCTTAGAAAGTTTTTAGACTTGTACGATTTGTTGCAAACTTCACAGGTAAATCTCGCTCTGTTTGAATGTACACGTAATACATGCACTCTCAGTTTCCGTCCATCACCGAAAATCTTGTCACATTTTGTACACTTCACAGCCAAATGCACTTTCTCCATGTGTGTTTCAAGACTGGCATAATATCGCTGACATGTTTCGCATTTTTCTCTTTTAGGTGGTTTCTTCTTTGTCTTTTTAGTTTTTCCCGACTTTTTATATTTTTTCCCCGTTTTTTTTGTAATTTTCCTTTGGCATACCAAAGGCTGCATCAAATCCGTCATCGTCTGATGGAGTATATTCGGAATGAGTTTCCATGTGTAAATTGAGCTGACTTTCACTCTCAAACACACTGTAACAAAGTTCACATTCAAATTCATCATCACTTAAGTCCTCATCCGAGATTTCTTCCTCAGAAATTACATCAGATGCATTTGAAGATGTTGAATGAAGATCCTTGTCAGTATTAGACGTTAAGTTTTCTTCTGCAGATTTGGCAGAAACTGCATCAGAATTGCTATTTGATGCATCCATATTAGTTTTCGGATTTTCATCTGCAGACATTGTATCAGAATCACTCCATGTTGTTTCTGAAGCTGACTTTCTGCCTGTCACCAAATGATCTGGTTCTTCATCATCATAGATAAGTTTGAAAGTCTTCATCTTTAACATTTCTGCTTTGATATAATTTTAAAAATGCACAAATAAATATATAGCCTATAGGTTAAACTGTTCCATGTATAACTATGCTTGGTAGATTTAGTCATTCACTGTGACTATGTGCATTGTTTGATTTCTTATCTGCTTGTATTTTTTTCTAAAAATAAAAAAGAATCAAATTTAAACAATATTATTTTATCTGCATATGTTCATTTTTCATGGTTTGGTTTTAATTAAATTGGAAATTTGTAATAAATACTGTTTCATTTGGGATAACATTAACTAGAAACAATTTTTTTTTTTTTTCATTTAGCCTTAATTCTATCAGTTGCTGCTTCAGCCCCAGTTTATTCATGTTATGTGAAAACAAACCGCACAACTCCATAAATTAATAATTAAATCTTTTAATTTTGAACTACTAATAACTGTTATAAAGTAACTAATGCAAGTATAATTACTGGGGTGAAAAAAAAAGTCGAAAACGCATAGTAATTTTATATATATATAGGCCTTACCGAACCCACTTTTACACACACCCCTTCTGCCTTTTTCAATAATTATGTTTTCCATGCTTTGTAATATTACTCCGAATTGCCAATGAACTAAAATGAAAATGTCAAAGACTTCATTTACCTTTAAACGGGTGGTTAAAGCATCAAAACTGTTCTTTTTGCATAGTTTACAAAAGTGAAAACTTGCGCATGGAATGAAAGTAAACAAAACAGGGACGGTGTAAAATTAGGATATGCCCGATTGCCGTCTCCAACGAAATAGAGGATAAGAGTAATATATGAATCTCGATCTTTTAAAAAAATATTTATTTTCTCCGGGGTTAAAATTTCATTATAGAACATGAAAGCACCGAGTGTGTACTTTATTTTGATATATGAAAATGGAAAGTCTAAGAGGGTGATTAAGTGAATTAATTACTATTATAAACTATTATAAACTATTATAAATTTAGTTTCTTTCCCCACACAGTGATTCTTTGGAATACTCTCCCACACTCAGTGGTGGCAGCGGCCTCTCTGGACCAGTTCAGAACTCTGGTCCCAAGTTATGTTCCATAACTCTTATATTCAGAACAAATCAGCTAGAGTATATTGTATAGATATACACTTTTTTATGCACAATGTAAATTGTTTCCTAAAGCACTTATTTAATTTAAATTTTTCATGGTATCTACTTTTTTTTAATTTTATTTGTGAATTTTTTTTTTCTCTCCTACTTTTTCATTTAAAGTTAGAGGTCCGTTTGCGCAGGGCCAGCGTATAATCATCATGTTTGATGGAACGCTGTATAATGTAAAATTGATACAAGTACAGGCCGGGCCATTTTATGCATAAGAAGTCTCTTGCTCTTTGGTAAATGTAAGGTTCCCATAAATATATTTAAAAATTACATATATTTCAAGAAATCGATTTTCCTTTATTAATTCTTGCCTTAGACACCAATGTTTGTTATACCTTTAAAAAATTGTTCCTATACAAATCTATACGAAAAAGTCTAACATTTTTAATCTTTTGCTGAGCGGGCATAAAAAATCGATGAGATGTTGGACCGCTTACGTCACAGAATGGGCGGAGCTTAATCTCATTTTCATTCATTAATGCTTTAAACAGTGACAGACCTGATGTTACATTACGGAATAATTAAATTACAAAATACATGTATGTCAAAAAATATATAATAAAATGAAAGGTATAACAAAACATTTATTGACAGAGTTCTCGGGCAAAATGCGTTTTTCACATTTCTTTACAAATTTTCCCTATATAACATGATTAGTTTATTTAGGTCAATACATGTGGGTATAAATACTAAACACCTAATATTACTTTTAGAATCCGTAGACATTTTATGAACATTTTCAATTATTCAGCTCTGGGGATCGTACTTCCTGTTAAGTTCAGAGAATAAACATATTATAATGCTTAACAGACAATGATATTTGAAGAGGAAAACAATTAAGAATATATTAATTTATTCATCAAATAGCCAGCGTGAGCCTCAATTTTATTTTATTATTTTTAAAAATACCTTTCGAAAGTACTTTTGCCCAAACCAGGACAGTAGCTATTTCGCCAAAAGTCTTCCTCACCACGCGAGGAAAGGTGAAAACATCTACTATAGTAAGTGCAGGCCTCTCTCATCTGAGAAGCTTAGAGCTATTAGACTGTCCTCATTGTACCACCCATAATATCTTGCCAATGTTCTAAATTAAGCAAAGAGCAAATTCCACTCTGTACTACTATATAGTGTACTTACATAGGCGTCGGAACCGGGGGGAGGCTTAGCCCCTTCACTTTTTTTTTGCAAATGTATACAAAATGTAGGCATTGAAAATTTGGGTGTACTTTTTCTCGTTGGTTAAGCCCCCCCCCCCCCAAAAAAAACTTTCAATTTACCCTCTCCCCCACTTTCAATTTGCTTCCGACGCCTATGATCACTTAAGACTATGAATTAGCCTCTGCTGGGATATAGCACCCAAACCTTATGATGAGTCACAGTGACTATCAGATGACCCTAAGAGTCTAAAGTCCAGGAATATTCCCAGAGAATTTCCCTATTGCATAGAGGTGCATCTACAACATGACTCGATCTTATTTGGCCCAAGTTCCACAGCCGGTCTTCCCAAACTGCACAGCCTTAATTCCTGCCTGATCCCTATGATACATCTGTCACGATGCGGAATATATGCATGAGTGAGATAGAGTGACATTGAAAATGCTGGTTAGTATTCCCTATACTTTTAAGCGCATATATATACGTATACCTCCTGGGACAAAGTTATCTGACAAAGCATAAAAGTGATGGCCTTCGATCATTACTGTATAGGGTCTTCACCTAATTATACTAAGGCATTGTCTCTTTAAAATTTATTGTTGCATACAGCGTAACTGTGTCCTAACTGTGCTTATTCCCGAAACATGGCTTATCCCAGCCCCTGCCCAATTAACACTTAGTCTTTTGCTGGGAGAAAAAATTACTGAGTTACCCCCTCCCCCATGCCCATCTGAAAAATGAGATCTTGTACTGCACCTTATGAAATGTATTCAGATTGACACCCATGTGAGAAAACTGCACTAGTCTAGTACTGGTACATGTTACTTGAGTGTTGCCAAGTACACTGGTTACATAAGTGGGGACATCAAAACTAGATTCCCTAGCTGTGTATTGGACTACTCAAAAGACCCATTTTGTGCCTCATCACTTTAAAACCTAGGATTTGATACCCTCCGAAATTCTCTTTGTGTTAATTGGGCTATTTGCTTTTATTTATAAACTCCATGATCATATTGACCTTGAATTCATAATTGCTCGATTCAGCCCCCAAACCTTGACAACGCCCTACCCAAGTTGTCCCCATGTCAGAGGTTGTATTTATTACGAGAACATCACTACTCCTAAAAATTGAACTAAGGGACATAATTTACTTCCCCTAATACAAAACTATTCTCAACCCTAATCGCAACTTCTCGGGCCTTTCCGACTATACGGAAAAAACGACTTCGAATGTATATATGGTAGACGCCATGGCAACCCTCTCTTTTCACGATTTTTGAAATTAAAGCATGGATACCTTTTATTTGTGGAATATGGAGCTTAACTTTATTCAATGTAATGATATTACCTTAAGTAGACGGGACTCCAAACTCCGTTAATCCTATATTTGAATAAACAGGAAATGTGTATTTTTTAACATCCGATGATGTTAATTAGTCTTGATATATTCGAGGTTGTTTTTCCGACCTCAAACGGGAAGACCCGAGATGATGCGATTTTTCTCAACCCCTTTAATGCCTCGGGTACTAAATTCTGATGGCCTATATATAGAAGCAACAACCCAAAAAGTTGGTCTGACCTGTCTGAGAAGAAGGATATGGAGATAACGAAGAGTCTTCAATCTCAAAGTCCATAAAACAATACAAAATAAGAGCAGAGCAAACACGGACCCCCGAAACATCAGAGGTGGAATCAGGTGCCATGGAGGATTGAGCATCCCATGCTAACCGCTCACACCGTGTGCTCCTTGTGATCATGATCAGGAAATAACGGAAAATCCGTCGTTGATAAGTGTATAAATAATCAACAAACAATTGATATGAAAAACGTCAGTCAGCATTTGATCTAATGATAAATTGTATTTGCTGACAAGGTCATTGTATCGACCATAGAACTTACAAAATGATGACTTTAAACGAGACTGATGATATTCTTGTTTCATCAACTTGCTTGTAAATAATTTACCTCGTTTTAGAAATTGTTCATACGTAAAGCATACTCTTGTGTATCGAATCAGCTGTGATATAAATATACTCTGTATGCAGGTGGTGAAGGTATATTGCTGCACAAGTAAGGGAAGTTGACGATAGAAAAGTTTACCGGGTAATTTAAGTCATCACGTTTATCATATAGCTTGGTTGTTAGATTACCATTAGCGTCTTTTTGAAGTAAAATATCCAAGTATGAAGAATATTAAGTGTCAGACTCTGTGGTTTCTTTTATCTCAAGCTCATCGGGATATATCATATCGACGTTGGAATGGAAATTACCATTGTTAATTGAAATACATCCGCGGGTATGTTAAAGAAGCATATAAGTCATTTTTCGGGAAATTTAGACTTTTTTAAAAAAAAAAATTAAGTTTGATAATTTACCAAAACCTCTGATAAACGTAAACTATTATAATCTAATGCATAAAGATAAAAGAGTGTACAAAGCAATGACGTGCACAACCACCACGGCATCACGTGACTTCTATTAATAGCGAAATTTTCCTTAATAAAAATGCTAACAGATAACAACAATACCCCGGAATTTGATAATTTCTTTGAGTAAATAATGTTGTTGAAAAACATCTATTTTGCCTAAAAAATGCTGCTAGAATTCAACTGTCCCGTCAGTAAAATAATTATTCCACACATTCGCACGAAACCTTACCTGATGTTTTGAATTTTTTACATAATTTATGAACCCTGATTTTTCATAAAACCATGCTTAACTCGGGATTCTAGTAGCACTTTCCAACTATTTTAGGAGGCTAACTGTCCATATGTACAAATCTTATGTTTTGAAATATTTAGCTTATTGTTGTTCTGTTGCATTATTTTTGTCACAAATGACAGAGGAAAGACCGACAGGGATGCGTATATAGCTGACTGTCTTCGAAAGAGAATCAAATCGATGACAATAAATTAGCATACCTGTTTTATTAACTGAACTCCATATAAATATCACAAAATATTAACAATATTTGCTGTTAAACTCCATTTTACGTATCTTTGTAAATGCCGTATTAGCCACATATTGACGTCATCGGTGGTAGATTTTAATCAAAATGACAGAATACAGCATTATTAAATAAGAGCGTTTTATTTTTGTTAATGTTTACATGTTTCATTTTCTAGAGTTAAATTACATCTCTTAATACCAATATTACGAAAACTTGTGTTTTAAAATTGACGTCATCTCCTCTACTATGAGGTCATAATGTAGCACTGATTTAGTCAAGGCAGAAAATTTTGTATGCTTCCTTATTTCCCCTGCGTCGACGATATATCTAAATGTCGAGTTGAAGGCCACAGCAAGTGTTTTCTTTTTTTCATGCATAAGATTTTGCATAGATTCTACTTAATGTGAATATAAAATGTCTGCTAATAACGGAGCGCAATTTGTACCCATGGGAATTCCAAGATTGTTTGAATATCTGGTCACCAAAAACAATATAGATATTGTCAATAAGAAACTCAAACATCTTCTTGATGTTTACTTCAGAGTGCTTATGTGTGCAACCAGAATCTGTTTAAAAAAAATAATTAACCATCACATGCATTAGCATCCTGCCCCTGGTCCCCTACCAAACCATCTGGCCTAGTACGTTATCTTGCTCCCAGAACAACCATGCCACTCGTGCGCTCAGAATGGGTACTAAGTACACATGTACCAGTCCTCATGTATACATAAATCAGTTCTTAATTTCATTTTATTTTCAGAAAAAATAACAACAATATAATCACAAAAACACTTTTTTGTATGGAATAAAAAAAGAAAATATAGGAAATGCCAGACAAAACTTTCCGTATGTTCATGCATTCAAATACCATCATCTGCACTCTCGAAGTGATATGGCCATTATATAGTACACCCTTCAACTAATTTCATTCTTTTAAAAACGTATGTTTTTTTATAAGTTTCATCTCTTCAGTAAAGTTCCATAATTACCAAGTGGACCATAAGCTGCACGAATGTCCTTTGATAATGTTGACTTGACACAGAAGACAAATGAAATTAGAATGATTCACTGAGATTGATCCAATCCTGTTTTGATTTACTAGTACATCATAACATGTATTCATTTATCATCTTCCCTTAGGGTTAATTCATACAAAATGAAGTTCCATCATGTCCATTGAAATCATTAATTATAGCAACGTATTTTAAAACATATGCACTGATAAAGAGTAAAAAAAAATTGAAACATTTCTTACAACTCTTTACAAGAGGAGGAACATGAGCATGTCACATATCACTTTTATCATAATGATGATGATTTTTCATATGTAACTGGATAGACGTCTTTTGATTGCAAGCTTTTGGGCACAGGTCACATCGGAATGGCAGCTCTTTTGTATGAATGCGTTGGTGACATTTTAATTCGTATCTTGATCTAAAGAACTTTCCACATGTAATGCATTTAAAGGGTTTAATACCTGCATGCATCCTCTTGTGGCGATTCAGTGCCCCGGAGAATATAAATCCCTTTCCACATATGTCACAGATAAATGATTTTTCTCCCTTGTGGATCTTAAGATGTACTCTTAAATTAGCTGGATGATTAAAAGATTTTCCGCACTGTCCACAATCATATGTTCTATCGTCATGCACCTTAAGCATATGTTGATTCAAGTCAGCCCTTCTGCCGTATGTAGATCCACATAACTCACAAATGTGTCGAACTCTTAGTTCCTCATTACATACATGCTGGCGTAAATGGAGAGCTTCTGAGAAAGACTTTTTGCAAACTCTACATTTCACCTTTTTCACCCTTTCCACCTTTTTAGCCCTGTGAATTTTCTTATGACAAACAAGGGCAGATCTAGACTTAGTCACTTTGCCACACTCTTCACAAATTTCACCTTTTAAGTTGTGCTGTCGTCTGTAATGTACGATTTTAATTTTAGTCGAAAACTTTTCACCACATAGAAAACAATCAAATATTTTATCGCTAGTTACATTTTTGGACTCGAAACTCTCATCACTCACAGCTTCCTGGTCAGATTCCATGTACTCAGATCCATCACTATCACTAACATCATCATTCTGTAAATCGTCTTCAGAGGAACAACTTCTCAAATCTCCATCTTTCTCTAAGAAATCTGTCTTTGAAGTTTCCTTCTTTGAATACACTTCAACTGCTGTGCTCTTCTTTGCAATACTCCTTTCATAATCCTCTAGCAACTTCTCCTCTGAAATTCTTGTCAGCTTTATCACTGGCACTCTCTTCTTTGATATAGTGCTTCCAAAATTTTCTATCACTTTCTCTTTTGAAATGCTTTCTTTAGGTTTTTTTATCTTTACATTTAGAATCCTTCTTCCAGAAATCTTCTCTTCATTTGCATCTTCTTTTTCTTTACCTGTATCTTCTTTCTCTTCATAAACGTCTTCCTTTTCTTCATCTGGATCTTCTATCTTTCTTGATACATCATTTTTATTTTCTGAAACTTCATCCTCTTTCTGAGGAACATAAAATGCTTTATCAACAGTTACAATTTTGGACTCGAAACTCTCATCATATACATCTTCCTCATCAGATTCCATGCATTCAGTTCCACTACTATCACTAACATCATCATTCTGTAAATCATCTTCAGAGGAACAGCTTTTAGAATCTCCATCTTTCTCAATGAAATGAGTCTTTGAATTTGGGTTTTTTGAATTCTCTTCCATTGGTATACAATCCTCCCTTGAACTTGATTCCTTCATAATATCTTCAGAGGAACAACTTTTTAAATCTCCATCTTTCTCTATGAAATCTGTCTTTGACTTTGTTTTCTTTGAAAACACTTCCACTGCTGTGCTCTTCTTTAAAATACTCCTTTCATACTCCTCTAGCAACTTCTCCTTTGAAATTCTTGGCAGCTTTATCAGTGGCACTCTTTTCTTTGATATAAGGCTTCCAAAACTTTCCTTCTCTTTCTGAGGAACATCCTGCTCCTCTTCAGTAAAATCTTCCATCTCTTCCAATCCCTCTGATTCATCATCTCTGTCAGAATCTATCTGCATTTCTTGAGGGCCATTTTGCTGTTGATTTACATCCAATTCTTTTTCAGGTATGGCAGTCACAGTTTCATACTCCACACTTGTGTCATTATTGACCTCTTCTTCACTATTTAAGAAGTTCAAGATGTTGTTCACCTGACTCTCAACATCATCCAGTTGTTCATGTTCAATCCCAACATTTACTCTGACAGGTTTTAAGAATGCATTGAATTTCAGCTCAGAAATGTCAAACATGCTAGAGTCTGTTTCAGCTGAGCACCATTCCATTATTGTCTTATTAGACAAACAGTCTGATTTGTACAGTGTGATTGGTGATGTATATTAGTGCTAGACCTATGAGAGTGTATATCCTTATTGGTGTTGGTAATAGAGATGTAGTAGATTGGACTTATGTTGGAGATGGAGGATTTTGATTGCCTGTGTTACGTTTATAAGTGAATCCTCTGGACAGTGGATCCCTTTCTGAATCTTAAAGGTGTAAAAAAGACATCTGTTCCACCTGAATATTAAAAAAACAGTGCAATGTTTACCATTTGCTATAACAAGAGGCCCATGGGCCTTATAGGTCATCTGAGCATCATGCAATGCCATAAAATTCACAAATTTTGAAGAGGCATTCCTGCTTATCTTAACTATGTACTTAATTAGTTTAATTAATAAACAAAAGAAGAGAATTCTGATTTTCAAAGAATTATTGCATTTTTACTATATAATCAATAGAGCCCTGTCCTTATTGTCCTAACACCAGATCCCTGACCCTTCCATTCTTCCTCATCTGTTCTTAGTTAGTTTATTCAGGAGAAGAAAGAAAAGTTTTTAAATACAAAATGCTTTTCATTATATAACCAATAGAGCCCCAACCTAACATCAGAACCCCTGACCCTTGGGTAGTGTTGTCAAATCGGTTGAAAATCGGAATCGATTAATCGGTAGCATCGGTTGACCCTAACCAACTGACCATCGGCCAATAATCGAATTGGTAACCCTTTGCATAAAATAGGCATTATATTACATATAAAATTTAGAATTTTATTTTTATACCCGCACTTTCGAAAGAAAGTTCGGGTATATTGTTGTTACTCATGTCCGTCCGTCCGTCCATCCGTCTGTCACACTTTTCTTCCCTGAACTCCTCCTACATTTTTCACAGTAGCTTAATCATCCTTTGGGAGATGGTTGGGGGTATCATGTAGATGTGCAGTAAGGTTTCGGAATTTTGATTTTGCCCCGGGGGATCAAATGGGGGTCGAAAAATGACGTTTTTTATACTAAAAGCCCCTTCTTCCCTGAACTCCTCCTACATTTTTCACAGTAGCTTAATCATCCTTTGGGAGATGGTTGGGGGTATCATGTAGATGTGCAGTAAGGTTTCGGAATTTTGATTTTGCCCCGGGGGATCAAATGGGGGTCGAAAAATGACGTTTTTTTATACAAAAAGCCCCTTCTTCCCTGAACTCCTTCTACATTTTACTCAGCAGCCTAATCATCTTTTGAGAGATGGTTGGTGGTGTCATGTAGATGTGCAGTAAGGTTTCGGAATTTTGATTTTGCCCTGGGGGATCAAATGGGGGTCGAAAAATGACGTTTTTTATACAAAAAGCCCCTTCTTCCCTGAACTCCTTCTACATTTTACTCAGCAGCCTAATCATCTTTTGAGAGATGGTTGGTGGTGTCATGTAGATGTGCAGTAAGGTTTCGGAATTTTGATTTTGCCCCAGGGGATCAAATGGGGGTCGAAAAATGACGTTTTTTTATACAAAAAGCCCCTTCTTCCCTGAACTCCTTCTACATTTTACTCAGCAGCCTAATCATCTTTTGAGAGATGGTTGGTGGTGTCATGTAGATGTGCAGTAAGGTTTCGGAATTTTGATTTTGCCCCAGGGGATCAAATGGGGGTCGAAAAATGACGTTTTTTATACAAAAAGCCCCTTCTTCCCTGAACTCCTTCTACATTTTACTCAGCAGCCTTATCATATTTTGAGAGATGGTTGGTGGTGTCATGTAGATGTGCAGTAAGGTTTCGGAATTTTTCATTTTGCCCGGGGGGTGGGGGGGATGGGGATCAAATCGAGGTAGAATTTTTATATATTTTTTTTTTACATATATTTGACATGTTTAATCACCCTGCTTTCAAGAACTTCCCTAATATCTTATGCTGCAATAGCTTTAAACCATGATCATTTAGAAAATGATTGGTTTGTTTTGTGTATGTGTAAAATGGTTTCAAAATTTGAATTTTCATATGGATGGCAAAAAGGGGCTGGAATAATATGGCACCTCCCTAACCCTGGTGGTCATGATTTGTACAAACTTGAATCTACACCTCTTGAGAATATTTCCATATTAATCATGCTCTTGGTGTTCCTGAAAAGAATAACTTTAAAGATGTGTTTCCTTTTATTCCTAAATAAAACTTTGATCCCTAATTGTGGCCTGACCCTAGCCTGAGGTGATGATTTGAAAAACTAGAAATATGTCTATAGGACATGAATGTTCCGCCAGATGTGTATTACTAATGGTATATTAAACAAGAGGCCCATGGGCCACATTGCTCACCTGAGTACTGAAGCTAAGAAAAAGTAGAAATTGGTTTATTATTGAAAAGTTAAAATCCAAAAGTAATCCCATGATCAATCATGGATTTGCTTTTCTTCAAAGAATTTTCCATATATTTCTATGTAAAACTTTGGTCGGCCATTTTGGCCCCACCCTACCCCCTGGGGTCATGATTTGTACAAATTTTTGAATCTACACTACCTGAAGATGCTTCCATATAAATATGATGAATTATGGATTTGTCATTCTTGAGAAGAAGATTTTTAAAGAATTTTCCCATAAATTTCTATGTAAAACTTTGGTCGGCCTTTTTGGCCCCGCCCTACCCCCAGGGTCATGATTTGAACAAACTTGAATCTTCACTACCTGAGGATGCTTCCATATAAATTTGATGAATTATGGCTTTGTCATTCTTGAGAAGAAGATTTTTAAAGAATTTTCCTATATATTTCTATGTAAAACTTTGATCAGCCATTTTGGCCCTCTCCTACCCCCGGGGGTCATGATTTGAACAAACTTGAATCTACACTATCTGAGGATGTTACTCCATAAGTTTCATCTTTCCTGGCACAGTGGTTCTTGAGAAGAAGATTTTTAAAGAATTTTCCAATATATTTCTATATAAAACTTTAGTCGGCCATTTTGGCCCTGCCCTACCCCCGGGGGTCATGATTTGAACACATTTGAATATTCACTACCTGAGGATGTTAACCCATAAGTTTCATCTTTCCTGGCATAGTGGTTCTTGAGAAGAAGATTTTTAAAACATGCCACCAAATTTTCATTAATTCCCAATTATCTCCCCTTGAATGAGGGCATGGCCCTTCATTTGAAAAAACTTGAATCCCCTTCACCCAAGGATGCTTTGTGGAAAGTTTGGTTGAAATGGCCCAGTGGTTCTTGAGAAGAAGTCGAAAATGTGAAAAGTTTACAGACAGCTAGACAGACAGACGGACGCCGGACAAAATATGATCAGAAAAGCTCACTTGAGCCTTCAGCTCAGGTGAGCTAAAAACTAAAAACTAAAATTTGTATTTGTGTATAAAGTTTGATGAAAATATCTTAAACAGTTTTTTTTCAGAATTGAAACTAAAATATAAATAAATTGGATATAGATAATAAATTCTCATCAAATTATGTATAAGTGCATGTTAAACATAAAAATGTCTTAAATTATTTCTTAAAAACTAAGCAAAATACATATTAAAGAGGAGGGAGGTCAAGGTCACAGGAATGTGCAAGATGAAGTTTTTGATGCAGCTGAATAGCTCTCACTAATACATATTAGCTTATTATGTTTGATAAAAATATCTTTAATGATTTAATAAAAGTGAGCTTAACACTTTGTTTTAAGAAAAGAGAAGTCAAAGGAAAGGTTGTGGTCAAAATGTTGTTCTAGCTGAAAAGCTTACATCAGTGTGAATTTACTATTATCAAATGAATTTTGATAAAAATATAATTAATGGTTTATTTGAAACTTAGATAAACACATATTTTAAAAAGTGAGGTCAAGGTCAAAAGAAAATTCAAGGTCAAAATAAGTTAATGCAATAATAGCTCTCATCAGTATGTATTAGCATATGAAGTTTGATTAATATATCTTGAACTGTTTATTCAAAACTGATCTAGTCTAAGACAGTGAGGTCAAGATCACAGGAAATGTCAAGGTAAAAAAGAGTGAAGCATTGTAAAGCTTTAATTGCTTACATCAGTATGTATCATCATGTGAAGTTTCATTACACAACTTGAATCATTATGGTTTCTCTAAAATAAAGCTAAACACTAATTTTAAGAAAAGTTAAGTAAAGGTCAAAGGAAAGTAAAGGTAAACAAGATGTGTTTGTGAAACACTATGCGCCCGGCGGAAACAAAGTTCAAAAAATCTATTTTTAGCATATTGGTCACAGTCAAGGTCACAAGGTCACTGGCCGTGGTGTCATTTGAAAGAACTTAATCAGTGGAGTATGCATCCCAAATATGAAGTCCCTATCTACTATGGTTTAAAAGTTATGGCCAAAAGTGTAAAAAGCTATTTTTAGCATATAGGTCACAGTCAAGGTCATTGACCATGGTGTCATTTGAAAGAATTTAATCAGTGGAGTATGCATCCTAAATATGAAGTTCCTATCTCCTATGGTAAAAAAGTTATGGCAAAAAGTGTAAAAAGCTATTTTTAGCATATAAGTCACGGTCAAGGTCACAAGGTCATTGACCATGGTGTCATCTGAAAGAACTTAATCAGTGGAGTATGCATTCCAAATATGAGGTTCCTATCTCCTATGGTTCAAAAGTTATGGCAAAAAGTGTAAAAAGCTTTTTTTAGCATATAAGTCACAGTCAAGGTCACAAGATCATTAACCTTGTTGTCAACTGAAAGGGCTTTATTAGAGGAGTATGCATACCAAATATCAAGTCCCTAACTCCTATGGTTAAAAAGTTATGACAAACAGTGGAAAAAGCTATTTTTAGCATATAGGTCACAGTCAAGGTCACAAGGTCATTGACCTTGATGTCATTTGAAAGGACTTTAATAGTGGAGTATGCATACCAAATATGAAGTCTCTATCTCTTATTGTTCAAAAGTTATGGCCAAAGTTAAAGTTGACAACAGACAAACAGATAAACAGACAAACAGACAGGACAAAAACAATATATGCCCGGGATCTATCGATCCGGGCGCATAAAAAATATTGCCACAGTTGGATAGTTTACATCAGTATATGCATCGATCAGCATATGAACTTTGATAAAATATCTAGAAAGTAATTTCTTTGAGCTCAATGGAAAGACAGATGGAAGGGTGGAGGACGGACATGACAAAAACTAATACATGTATTCCTAATCATGGCGTAGCATAAAAAACTTGAATATACATTATATGAAGATGTTTCCATATCAAGATTATACATGCAAATTCAAAGAATTGTGGTCCTTTGCTTTCTGTGTTTAAGTGAATGGGATGCCATAATTTAAATTATGGCACATTGTGTATCAAATATGCATCCCTATCATATGTCACTTTATGAAAATTAGGTCAAAGGGGGGAAATCATCGCATGCTCGAAATATTTTGTTGCAGGTAAAGTACATGTCAAATATGAAAGACCCATCTCTTTTCAATCAAAAGTTATATATATATAAATATATAATATAATATTTTTGAAAAGTAGGTTAAACTTCTACGTCAAGATCAGAAAGTCAAAAGTCATGATATATTTAGAAAAGTCTTTTCACATGTAATATACATGTATAATTTAAATGCCATATCTTTTCTCTTTCAAAATGATTAATTTAAAATGTTATTTTTTGGAAAGTAGGTAAAATTTTGAGGTCAAGGTCTCACTTGGGTTAAAAAATCATAGTACATTTAGAAAGTTTTGTGGTAATGTACATGTGAAATATAAAAGCCCTATCTCATATTATTCAAAAGTTATGATCAAGGTTAAATTTATTGTGACAGATGCACATACTGTCAAAGATGGCCAGACTGACAGACAAATAAGATTTATTATTACCTAACTTACTATCTAAATTATAATTAGGCATTTTGAACTGTTTCACGGTTTACTTTATGTTTTTGCGTGATCATGAAAAAGTGAACTGTTGACCGGTCCACAGAATGAACTGTTGACTGGTTAAAGCGTCATTGTGATATTCAAGCGTTTTGATGATCACGACATCACTATTTACCTGCTCTGTAATGAATTAAATTTAAACAAAACACACAAACAATAAATTTATTAAGTATTACTTTAAAATAAAAATATTAATTTAGTCTTTATATTATGTATTCAGCTAATTAATAGACAAGTATGTGAATAAACAATTGTGAAAACTTTTTATTGATTGTTTATGTGTTTTTATTCCAATTTAATTAATTATATAGTACGTAGGTTAGGTAATAAAACACTTATTCAATGACTACTCGGTGAAACAGTCAAACTGTTGTCCCTCAGTAGTACGTGGGGGAGACCTGGGAAACTGTTGCCCTTGGCCTTCGGCCTTGGGCAACAGTTTCCCAGGTCTCCCCCACTACCTCGGGACAACAGTTTGACTGTTTACCTCGTAGTCATTAAATAAGTGTATAATGTTCCCTCCCTTTCCCCCAAAACGGGGGACAATAATGCCCTTGCTGTTCTTGAGAAGAAGATTTATGATGGAAAAAATCCCCTGCATATTTCTTAACGCAAATCAATATTGTGTTTTTATGTCATTTAATTGTTTGTTTGTTGTTAAACATCCCTCTCAGGAATTTTTCACTCAAATGGAGACACCCCCACTTGAAAAATAATGAGGACAAGTCGGATTTGAGGTCAACATTCATTTTAGGAGTTTTCAACCATTAAGACGTAAAGAGACAGGAACTCGATCCTTCCCTTCACCCCATCCCAGACCCCTGTTTATATTCATGACATGTATGCAAACTACTGCTTGTTTTACATTTTAAAAAAAATATGTTAATAGCCTATATACAAATACTTTAATGTGGTCCATCTCTTTGAATGATTTTCATTCCTAATTCTAGGAGGATAGGTTGATGAATGAAATGTCAAGCAATCTTATCATTGATGCACTTTTATTTCATTTAATGCAGTCATATTGTGAACATTTCCAGTTAGAATCATTAGGAGAGTGGGGATGACCTCCAGGGGGTTCAAAACATTTATACCATTAAATTTACATAACATAATAACACAAAAAGCGCAAAATTATGTATTGTCAAATGGAAAAAGTTTCCTACTATTTAGGAGTCACATGATCATTTGCCATTAGAGCGGATTCGGGTATTATTGAACTGTCGGGAGAAACTGAACACTTTTTATTCAATTAAATAACTCCTTACAGTATCCTAAACAGTGTGTGCGATTTTTTCTAGGAGATATGTATTTCATCATCGACAGACTTCACGCTCCGGGTAAGCGAGAACATTGAGTTTTACACGAAACATTGCAATTTCTGTTTACTTCCGGTATTTCTATGACGTAGTTCAAGAATTTGTAGAATAACACGTGTATAAATATAGAAAGATAACAATGCTTCCATTTCCGCGAATATTCAAGGTATCACACCGGTAATTGTTTTCACTATATAATTCTATATAGAATAAAAAATCGTTAAAAATCAGGTATTTGTTTACATGAAAAAATATTTAGCAGAAGGTGTTAAACATTACCTGTCACATTAGCTGACACCAAAAAACAGGGTACCCACACGGCATTTTCGGACTTTTTCCATCTGCAAACAGGGCTACCCTCAAATCCACGTGTTTTCACTGTGTTTATAAACACCTCGAGTGCACTACAGGAAGTAGCCTCCTATGCCATGAAAAAATAGTTCCTGTCCAAAACCTTTATTTATTCACAAAGTACATAAAATTTACTAGGCACAGGTACCAAAGTTGTAAAAGTGGCATGGAAGAAAATAGAAAAACGCCTCAAAAGAAAAGAAAATTAATTCTATATATATGGACCTACATTTGACTAAGTTCATTTTGATTGGTCAATTACCGGTGTGATACCTTGAAGGACCTTTGAAGGTGTTCGATTTTTTCCATTTTTGCACCTGAGATTCATGAAATAATTGTCCCCAACATCCCTAAGTCTGGTGATCTAAATCCCCTTATTTCTGAAGATATGAAGCATTTATCTCCCTTACTCCAGAGCAGTCAAGAACAACACACACAGCACTCTGGAAGCAGTTTTTTGTGCATCTTTTGAAGCAGAATTTCACCATTAAAAGAATAAGCTTGGCAACCAATTTTTTTATCCGTGGAGAGTATATGCTTTGTTCTTCACCACAAACAGAAAAGAGTTTACAAGTCTAAGACCATTATGTGATTATTACATAACAAAGTTGCATTTTCCCCTTCAAAGAATGAACAAAAATACAGAAATTGTTAAATACTGGGTTGATAATGAACACTGTATCTGGTCAATTTATGTTCCAAATAAAGTCTAGGTATGTGTCTACAAGCTGCTGTGCAGAAGTTTATCTAAATGCTGTGTTGTAACTCAGGGCAGTCAAAATGATATCAGCATCTAGGGAGGTTCTTCACAGCTCCCACACTCCATTAAACTGGCTTTGATGATAAGAACCTGGAGACAACAATTCAGATGTAATTTATTGTTGTGATTTATGCAACTGGCTTTCTCTTAAGACACAAATTAGCCATGAAATTTCAATTTAACATGCATAATTATTCTCTTTTCATGGATTTATTCAGGAATTCCAAAGGTGTTTAATGAATTTCCATGATTTATGCAAGATTATATCTTTTTGTTTCAACAAATTTACATAAAAAAATGAACATTTAGATTTTAAAATATAAATATTAAACATTTTAATGAGTTTGAACACTTTTCTATGAGACAAAATGCATCACAGAGACCAGATTCAGGACATCCTCCATGATTCTTTGAGGTGGGTGGGTGTACCAAAACTGTTGATAAAATTTATAGGAAGTGATCTGAGAAGAAATGTGCACCTTATTAGCTGAATTATAGTTATTCTGATATTTCAATTATGTAAATATGCCAAATTTCTTCATCAGTTAAATTTGGAATTTATTAATATTTCAGTACAATGATATACTTAGTAGATCATGCTCATATAAGCATCACTGACTGAGACTTAATTCAAAAGTGACAGTCAACACCTACATATAAATGAAAAAATAACAAAAAACAGTCTCCGACAAACTGAAAAAACATGAATGTCAGCTGCGAAAGCATAAATAAAGTCCTTAGAACCACAAAAGGCATGCCATGCTGCTAAGTGACATTCTGCACTACATGTATGATGCATGGTTAGAACTCAGAATAAGTATTATCATGCAGACCTTGACAGTATTTCAGGATTTTTTGGTCATAACCTTCCTTACTTTGATAAATTCTTAATGAATTTTACTAATGTAGCTTATGTATTAAGTTTATTAGACAGATCTGACTCATTTCATTATTTCTGTTCTTCCAATGCAGTAATGTATGTATCACTGGAGGTCTGAATAAATTAAAATAAATCATGTTTCTGTAGAAATTATCATTCTGTGAAAACATTTTTACTTGTTTACATTTTATCGCAGTTGTCGCTTATGCTAAAAATTCATTTGCAAACCTAGAATTAGTCTATTCTTGAAAAATCAGCTTTAACACCCTTTACCGCAAAGTCTGTAGACACTATAATTGACTGCGGTCAGCTGGTGCAAATAATGTTAAGTCATATAAAATGAAAAAACAATATTCTCTGACTTCTTTCCACATTTTAGATGCATAATGCTACCTTTTCAGTCATATTTGAAAGTATTGAGTGTAAAATATAACCTATTGTTAATTTTTAAACAGAAATCTGTGAAAAATAATGTAAATTCTAATTCTAATTTTAAAATTGTGTGTTTTCAAACAAAAAGTTAATAAAATCACATATTTTGTTGAAATATGCCTTTTAAAAATGAAAAATGTCTTTAATAAGGATTAAAATGATTTTTCACAATCACCTTCAAGGTATCACACCGGTAATTGTTTTCACTATATAATTCTATATAGAATAAAAAATCTTTAAAAATCAGGTATTTGTTTACATGAAAAAATATTTAGCAGAAGGTGTTAAACATTACCTGTCACATTAGCTGACACCAAAAAACAGGGTACCCACACGGCATTTTCGGACTTTTTCCATCTGCAAACAGGGCTACCCTCAAATCCACGTGTTTTCACTGTGTTTATAAACACCTCGAGTGCACTACAGGAAGTAGCCTCCTATGCCATGAAAAAATAGTTCCTGTCCAAAACCTTTATTTATTCACAAAGTACATAAAATTTACTAGGCACAGGTACCAAAGTTGTAAAAGTGGCATGGAAGAAAATAGAAAAACGCCTCAAAAGAAAAGAAAATTAATTCTATATATATGGACCTACATTTGACTAAGTTCATTTTGATTGGTCAATTACCGGTGTGATACCTTGAAGGACCTTTGAAGGTGTTCGATTTTTTCCATTTTTGCACCTGAGATTCATGAAATAATTGTCCCCAACATCCCTAAGTCTGGTGATCTAAATCCCCTTATTTCTGAAGATATGAAGCATTTATCTCCCTTACTCCAGAGCAGTCAAGAACAACACACACAGCACTCTGGAAGCAGTTTTTTGTGCATCTTTTGAAGCAGAATTTCACCATTAAAAGAATAAGCTTGGCAACCAATTTTTTATCCGTGGAGAGTATATGCTTTGTTCTTCACCACAAACAGAAAAGAGTTTACAAGTCTAAGACCATTATGTAATTATTACATAACAAAGTTGCATTTTCCCCTTCAAAGAATGAACAAAAATACAGAAATTGTTAAATACTGGGTTGATAATGAACACTGTATCTGGTCAATTTATGTTCCAAATAAAGCCTAGGTATGTGTCTACAAGCTGCTGTGCAGAAGTTTATCTAAATGCTGTGTTGTAACTCAGGGCAGTCAAAATGATATCAGCATCTAGGGAGGTTCTTCACAGCTCCCACACTCCATTAAACTGGCTTTGATGATAAGAACCTGGAGACAACAATTCAGATGTAATTTATTGTTGTGATTTATGCAACTGGCTTTCTCTTAAGACACAAATTAGCCATGAAATTTCAATTTAACATGCATAATTATTCTCTTTTCATGGATTTATTCAGGAATTCCAAAGGTGTTTAATGAATTTCCATGATTTATGCAAGATTATATCTTTTTGTTTCAACAAATTTACATAAAAAAATGAACATTTAGATTTTAAAATATAAATATTAAACATTTTAATGAGTTTGAACACTTTTCTATGAGACAAAATGCATCACAGAGACCAGATTCAGGACATCCTCCATGATTCTTTGAGGTGGGTGGGTGTACCAAAACTGTTGATAAAATTTATAGGAAGTGATCTGAGAAGAAATGTGCACCTTATTAGCTGAATTATAGTTATTCTGATATTTCAATTATGTAAATATGCCAAATTTCTTCATCAGTTAAATTTGGAATTTATTAATATTTCAGTACAATGATATACTTAGTAGATCATGCTCATATAAGCATCACTGACTGAGACTTAATTCAAAAGTGACAGTCAACACCTACATATAAATGAAAAAATAACAAAAAACAGTCTCCGACAAACTGAAAAAACATGAATGTCAGCTGCGAAAGCATAAATAAAGTCCTTAGAACCACAAAAGGCATGCCATGCTGCTAAGTGACATTCTGCACTACATGTATGATGCATGGTTAGAACTCAGAATAAGTATTATCATGCAGACCTTGACAGTATTTCAGGATTTTTTGGTCATAACCTTCCTTACTTTGATAAATTCTTAATGAATTTTACTAATGTAGCTTATGTATTAAGTTTATTAGACAGATCTGACTCATTTCATTATTTCTGTTCTTCCAATGCAGTAATGTATGTATCACTGGAGGTCTGAATAAATTAAAATAAATCATGTTTCTGTAGAAATTATCATTCTGTGAAAACATTTTTACTTGTTTACATTTTATCGCAGTTGTCGCTTATGCTAAAAATTCATTCGCAAACCTAGAATTAGTCTATTCTTGAAAAATCAGCTTTAACACCCTTTACCGCAAAGTCTGTAGACACTATAATTGACTGCGGTCAGCTGGTGCAAATAATGTTAAGTCATATAAAATGAAAAAACAATATTCTCTGACTTCTTTCCACATTTTAGATGCATAATGCTACCTTTTCAGTCATATTTGAAAGTATTGAGTGTAAAATATAACCTATTGTTAATTTTTAAACAGAAATCTGTGAAAAATAATGTAAATTCTAATTCTAATTTTAAAATTGTGTGTTTTCAAACAAAAAGTTAATAAAATCACATATTTTGTTGAAATATGCCTTTTAAAAATGAAAAATGTCTTTAATAAGGATTAAAATGATTTTTCACAATCACCTTCAAGGTATCACACCGGTAATTGTTTTCACTATATAATTCTATATAGAATAAAAAATCGTTAAAAATCAGGTATTTGTTTACATGAAAAAATATTTAGCAGAAGGTGTTAAACATTACCTGTCACATTAGCTGACACCAAAAAACAGGGTACCCACACGGCATTTTCGGACTTTTTCCATCTGCAAACAGGGCTACCCTCAAATCCACGTGTTTTCACTGTGTTTATAAACACCTCGAGTGCACTACAGGAAGTAGCCTCCTATGCCATGAAAAAATAGTTCCTGTCCAAAACCTTTATTTATTCACAAAGTACATAAAATTTACTAGGCACAGGTACCAAAGTTGTAAAAGTGGCATGGAAGAAAATAGAAAAACGCCTCAAAAGAAAAGAAAATTAATTCTATATATATGGACCTACATTTGACTAAGTTCATTTTGATTGGTCAATTACCGGTGTGATACCTTGAAGGACCTTTGAAGGTGTTCGATTTTTTCCATTTTTGCACCTGAGATTCATGAAATAATTGTCCCCAACATCCCTAAGTCTGGTGATCTAAATCCCCTTATTTCTGAAGATATGAAGCATTTATCTCCCTTACTCCAGAGCAGTCAAGAACAACACACACAGCACTCTGGAAGCAGTTTTTTGTGCATCTTTTGAAGCAGAATTTCACCATTAAAAGAATAAGCTTGGCAACCAATTTTTTATCCGTGGAGAGTATATGCTTTGTTCTTCACCACAAACAGAAAAGAGTTTACAAGTCTAAGACCATTATGTGATTATTACATAACAAAGTTGCATTTTCCCCTTCAAAGAATGAACAAAAATACAGAAATTGTTAAATACTGGGTTGATAATGAACACTGTATCTGGTCAATTTATGTTCCAAATAAAGCCTAGGTATGTGTCTACAAGCTGCTGTGCAGAAGTTTATCTAAATGCTGTGTTGTAACTCAGGGCAGTCAAAATGATATCAGCATCTAGGGAGGTTCTTCACAGCTCCCACACTCCATTAAACTGGCTTTGATGATAAGAACCTGGAGACAACAATTCAGATGTAATTTATTGTTGTGATTTATGCAACTGGCTTTCTCTTAAGACACAAATTAGCCATGAAATTTCAATTTAACATGCATAATTATTCTCTTTTCGTGGATTTATTCAGGAATTCCAAAGGTGTTTAATGAATTTCCATGATTTATGCAAGATTATATCTTTTTGTTTCAACAAATTTACATAAAAAAATGAACATTTAGATTTTAAAATATAAATATTAAACATTTTAATGAGTTTGAACACTTTTCTATGAGACAAAATGCATCACAGAGACCAGATTCAGGACATCCTCCATGATTCTTTGAGGTGGGTGGGTGTACCAAAACTGTTGATAAAATTTATAGGAAGTGATCTGAGAAGAAATGTGCACCTTATTAGCTGAATTATAGTTATTCTGATATTTCAATTATGTAAATATGCCAAATTTCTTCATCAGTTAAATTTGGAATTTATTAATATTTCAGTACAATGATATACTTAGTAGATCATGCTCATATAAGCATCACTGACTGAGACTTAATTCAAAAGTGACAGTCAACACCTACATATAAATGAAAAAATAACAAAAAACAGTCTCCGACAAACTGAAAAAACATGAATGTCAGCTGCGAAAGCATAAATAAAGTCCTTAGAACCACAAAAGGCATGCCATGCTGCTAAGTGACATTCTGCACTACATGTATGATGCATGGTTAGAACTCAGAATAAGTATTATCATGCAGACCTTGACAGTATTTCAGGATTTTTTGGTCATAACCTTCCTTACTTTGATAAATTCTTAATGAATTTTACTAATGTAGCTTATGTATTAAGTTTATTAGACAGATCTGACTCATTTCATTATTTCTGTTCTTCCAATGCAGTAATGTATGTATCACTGGAGGTCTGAATAAATTAAAATAAATCATGTTTCTGTAGAAATTATCATTCTGTGAAAACATTTTTACTTGTTTACATTTTATCGCAGTTGTCGCTTATGCTAAAAATTCATTCGCAAACCTAGAATTAGTCTATTCTTGAAAAATCAGCTTTAACACCCTTTACCGCAAAGTCTGTAGACACTATAATTGACTGCGGTCAGCTGGTGCAAATAATGTTAAGTCATATAAAATGAAAAAACAATATTCTCTGACTTCTTTCCACATTTTAGATGCATAATGCTACCTTTTCAGTCATATTTGAAAGTATTGAGTGTAAAATATAACCTATTGTTAATTTTTAAACAGAAATCTGTGAAAAATAATGTAAATTCTAATTCTAATTTTAAAATTGTGTGTTTTCAAACAAAAAGTTAATAAAATCACATATTTTGTTGAAATATGCCTTTTAAAAATGAAAAATGTCTTTAATAAGGATTAAAATGATTTTTCACAATCACCTTCAAGGTATCACACCGGTAATTGTTTTCACTATATAATTCTATATAGAATAAAAAATCGTTAAAAATCAGGTATTTGTTTACATGAAAAAATATTTAGCAGAAGGTGTTAAACATTACCTGTCACATTAGCTGACACCAAAAAACAGGGTACCCACACGGCATTTTCGGACTTTTTCCATCTGCAAACAGGGCTACCCTCAAATCCACGTGTTTTCACTGTGTTTATAAACACCTCGAGTGCACTACAGGAAGTAGCCTCCTATGCCATGAAAAAATAGTTCCTGTCCAAAACCTTTATTTATTCACAAAGTACATAAAATTTACTAGGCACAGGTACCAAAGTTGTAAAAGTGGCATGGAAGAAAATAGAAAAACGCCTCAAAAGAAAAGAAAATTAATTCTATATATATGGACCTACATTTGACTAAGTTCATTTTGATTGGTCAATTACCGGTGTGATACCTTCAATTCTGCAATGTAATAACCGGAAGTTAGTGGTAGAAAACTAAATTAAAAACCAAATTCGGTGAACCTTTACGGAATTAAACAGACAATACGTGTTCAAAAACTGCCTACAAAATTATATGATGTCGGATTTTATTGAACAATAAAACATATAAGAAATTATTTATTTAAAATAACAAACATGAGCTAATTTTATGCTTCTTCAATATTTAAAATAAAAAGTTCCAGTTGAAATCAAATATATAAACATAGAAATTTTGAATAAAATGAAAAAAAAAATTAAAAAGAGATTACATGAAAAGCAGAAGAATTCCTTTTTTTTGTTTTTTTTTGCAGATGAGGTTTATGATATAAATCTGTATCCTTTCCTCTTTTTAGATATCATGCAAATTATTAATTCAAAAGTTAAATATTTTTTAAATTGATTAAAATAAGAATTGGTTTTAAAAAATGTAACAATTTAAAACATTTCGTCAGTTTTCAAATAAATATTTATTTATCACAGAATGAGTCGTCCAATTGGTGTTTAAAGAAGAAAACAATATGATAGTAATATGTTGGAAGAAGCAGTTAGATATCTATACTAATAAAGAATAAAAACATCAGTTTGAACGAGGCTTCAGAAATATACTAAAAGACCTAACTAAATGTGCAAATTGACTTGGACAGGAAAACAATGACCCAGAGAACTGGATCGCATTCACAAAGTGTCCAAGGTCGATGCACAAAACGTGTGTAACTTACATGGATCTAACCTTATTAGCTTATGGAACATTAGAAGCTCTAAAATTTGAATGTGATTATTGTTGAAAATGTTCATGTTGTTTATTTATTCTGTTTTTGTTATTTGTATTATGTAATTGTCAAACAGAAACTTAATTAAATATTGTGTCCAGTAATACACTCCACTTCGTTCATTAAAATCCTCCGTGTTCAATAACTGCCTCTGACTAATTTATAAAGTAACACAATAAATTTAACCTTTCCACTCTTTGTAAAATTAATATATTCACTTAAATATACTTATTAAATAACATTCATACCCTAAATTGACAGGATTCTCTTTAATTGGTGTTTTAATTAAAGATGTCAAATTTTGTCCTTAAGTGTTCAATAATACCCGTACCCGCTCTACTGTTTACAGGGACTGGAAGTATATCTTGAGATCCCCCCCCCCCCCCCCGAATTTGCAGGACTATAATATAAAGAAGACTTTGGATGCCCTCCACCCTAGAAAACAGACACCACCATAACTTCTCCTTTTATTTGCTTCTCAGAAAATTCTGGTCTGGAAGTCCCCCCTCCCTCTCAGAAAAAAATTCTGTATTTTGTAACTGAATGTAACGTCGATAACGGGCGATAACTCTTTAGAATGTGAAATTCGTCTTATTGCAGCATCGGATGACCTTTGATCCTTTAAACTTTAACCTAACCAGTTGCATTTCAGACTATTTTACTCAAATCTATACCAAAACGTGTACTTACCGACTGCCATAGCTCATAGGCGCTTGGGTCAAGGAAACTGTATATTCTCAGAGCTATAAAATGTATCGTCGAGGAAATTGTAACTATACTCGTAGCATTTTTTTTTCAGTGCGCAGTGTTAATTTTTAGTTTTTTGTAAACCTTTTTGCTTCATATACACTACAATGTCACGGAAATTCGATTTTAAGCACGCTTTAAAAATGACATATCCCACTGTATACTAAAAGTTTCTTTTTAGTATACAGTGGGATATGTCATTTTTAAAGCGTGCATAAAATCGAATTTCCGTGACATTGTAGTGTATATGAAGCAGATAGGTTTACAAAAAACTAAAAATTAACACTACACACTGAAAAAAAATGTTACGAGTATAGTTCGAATTTCCTCGACAATACATTATATAGAAAAAATACAGCATCCTTGACCCAAGCGCCTATGCCATAGCTCCAACTTCATGAAATATAATCCAATTAAACACAAAATAATTCCAACTGACATACATGCAATGATGTGTACACAACACTAGGCCTAGTACTGCATGTGCAGTGCTATCTAAAAATGATAATGGTAAAACTAGTACTTAAGTTAGGTACGTGACGCAAGCCCAATGTGATGCAGGTCTTCAGATACATTTACAGTATAAGAACAAATTTAAAATTATTATTTACAAAAGATGTTTTATCTTAACTTTGCCATCTAGGCCTATTTCCAAAAACAGGAAAATAGGGTGTGTTTGCGCGTGTGTGTGTTGATGGGAGAAGGGTGGGGGTTGACTAAATTGATTGGGTATAAATGGTATATGGCAGCTTTCAAGGTGTTTCTGCCTAATCAAGTATAAAAAAAGTTTGTACATTTTGGAAAAAATCATCAAAAACGCTTTAAACTAATTTGAATAATATTTGTTGTTGATCTATATGAGAAAATAGATTTAAAAAGTTCCAATTATGGGCCAAAAATTTACCCCCCCCCCCTTGTTTCAAACCTAATTTACATCATTAATTGAATTCTGTTGTTTAATTTCAGACTGGTAATGAATTATGAATATGAAATACATGTACCTATAAGATCGAGGTCCATGGTGACGGGTCACATGTTCACTTGAGAATATTATGCTCAATTTGATGAATACATGGAGGCCCTATTATGTAAATTATTAAATTATATTGACTTTTTCTTTGGTAAAGTCTAATTTTAGAGGAGTGTGCATTTAGAGGCAAACACCTTAGTGCGGGTATTACTGTCTCATGACAGCATCTAGTTAAATAATGTAAGTAAAAGTGCATTGTACAGATCGAAATTCTAAAAACAGTATGTATGCAGTTGATTAACAATTTTAGTAATACAGATTTTTGCATGATTAGGAATTACTTTGCCTGGGAAACATAAGCATTGACAGATCAGGTTTTAATTTACAAGATCATGTAAAATATATATGGAATTAATTTTTCAAACTATGCATGAAATGAATAGTGAATTCCCCCAAATAAAGAAAACTATTTTTCATTTATATAAGTAGTTAGTTTCTTCAGTTTAGAAATAAAATATCATTACCTTATGATTTATTTTAAACAGATTTTAAGTACATGTATTTTAAAATAGGTAGTAAATGACAACTCTTGGAAGATATATGTTTTGATAACAAGAGCCTGTTCTTGAAATAAAAGTGAGAAAACTAATAAAAAAAAAAAAAAAAAAAGATATGTGCTGAAATATATCGATTAATCGATTGTTAAAATCTCCAATCGATTGTCTAAAATTGACAGCCTTTCTGACCGATTATTAATCGATCATCGTGACGACACTACCCTTGGGTCATAAATTCACAATTTTGGAAGAGGCATTCTTGCTCATCATAACTATGTACTTTGTTTTTCAATACCCAGGAGCAGAAAAAGGATTTACAAAGATTTGATGCTTTTTACTATACAATTATCAATAGAGTGACTCATTTTAAGATCAATCTGTATCTCAATTTTTAGCTCTACTGGTCAGAGACCAGAAGAGCTTATGCGATAGTAATGCGTCCGTCGTCCGTCCGTCTGTCTGTCTGTCCGTCTGTCTGTCTGTCTGTCTGTAAACAATTTTTCAAAATGCTACTCCTCCTACAGTTTTGGTCCGATTTCAGTATAACTTGGCACACAAGTAGACTACACTAAGATACATAATTTTGTGCATCGGTTTTTGATTTCGATGAACGGTGTTGCCATGGTTACTAAAAATAGAAATTTCTGTGAAATTCTTTCAAAATGCTACTCCTCCTACAGTTTTGGTCTGATTTCAATATTACTTGGCACACAAGTAGACTACTCTAAGATACATAATTCTGTGCATCGGTTTTTGATTTCGATAAACGGTGTTGCCGTGGTTACTAAAAATAGAAATTTCTTTGAAATTCTTTCAAAATGCTACTCCTCCTACAGTTTTGGTCCAATTTCAATATTACTTGGCACACAAGTAGACTACACTAAAATACATAATTCTGTGCATCGGTTTTTGATTTCGTTGAACGGTGTTGCCGTGGTTACTAAAAATAGAAATTTCTGTGAAATTCTTTCAAAACGCTTCTCCTCCTACAGATTTGGTCCAATTTCAGTATAACTTGGCACACAAGTAGACTACACTAAGATACATAATTCTGTGCATCGGTTTTTGATTTTGATAAACGGTGTTGCCTTGGTTACTAAAAATAGAAATTTCTGTGAAATTCTTTCAAAATGCTACTCCTCCTACAGTTTTGGTCCAATTTCATTATAACTTGGCACACAAGTAGACTACACTAAGATACATAATTCTGTGCATCGGTTTTTGATTTCGATGAACGGTGTTGCCTTGGTTACTAAAAATAGAAATTTCTGTGAAATTCTTTCAAAATGCTACTCCTCCTACAGATTTGATCCGATTTCAGTATAACTTGGCACACAAGTAGACTACATTAAGATACATAATTCTGTGCATCGGTTTTTGATTTCGATAAACGGTGTTGCCGTGGTTACTAAAAATAGAAATTTCTGTGAAATTCTTTCAAAATGCTACTCCTCCTACAGTTTTGGTCTAATTTTGATATAACTTGGCATACAAGTAGACTACACTAAGATACATAATTCTGTGCATCAGTTTTTGATTTCAATGAGCAATGTTGCCATGGTTACTAAAAATAGAAATTTCTGTGAAATTCTTTCAAAATGCTACTCCTCCTGCAGTTTTGGTATGATTTCAGTATAACTTGGCACACAAGTAGACTATACTAAGATACATAATTCTGTGCATTGGTTTTTATTTTGATAGTGGCAAGGATCATTTTTCTATTTATTGCTGATTTAAAGTCTCAAGTCCCAACTGCTACTTTTCTCTTCCTTTGTTTTAAGTATAAACCAATAGAGCTACAGTCTCGACAGAGACTTCTGGTTCTTCACAGATTCTTTGCTTAAATTGTCAAGCAGTGCTCTCTTTTACTGATTCATCATATTTTAGACTAATAATTGCTTTCTCAACTTTTCTTAGTTTTTCATAGCAAAAAGAACAAGAGGCCCATGGGCCACATTGCTTACCTGAGCACATGGGCTAGTTTAAAACACAAATCAGCTCAGTATTGAAAAGTTTACTTGTACACATGTTGTAGGGGGAGGAGGTTGGATTTTCTATTACCGGTACTTAAAAATGTCACTTTATCAATAGAGCATACATGTATAATTTTGGTGCTCTACTAAAAAGAAGATTTTAAAAGATTTTTGCGACATATTACAATATTACATGATCTCTCATTGTGACCTCCCACCCTTCCAGGACATAATTTAAAAAAGAAATCTAGGGTGAGGTCACAATGAAGGATCAAAGTTTTGCATATAATAGGAAATAACTATCTCCAGAACAGAAAATTTTGTTTAATCAAATTGACATGTAAACGTCTGCAAGTAGTGAAGATTTCTTTTTTTCAAATTATGTCCTGGAAAGGAGGGGTGGGGGTGGTCAGATATTTCTTTGTAAAATTAAATATGACACTGTGCCCCCACCCAACCCCCAAGAATTGTGATTTGAACAATCCATTTTTAAACTACACTACCTGGTGATGTTTCCATATAGATATCACCAAGCATGCCATGGATTTGCTGTTTTTGAGAAGAATATTTATTTTAAAGATTCTCTTATAAATTTCTAGAATGTAAAAATTTGATTGTCCATTATGGTTCCATCCTACCACAGGTGTTTGGGGACAGGACCACCCCGCACCCCCCCCCCCCCCCCCCCCCCCGACGGATGGATAAAATCCATACCATCTGACACTAAAACATAAGTTTTAGTATCAGAGGGTATGGATTTTTATATAAGGCTAGTTTTAGCTTAAATTTGATTTTTTTTTAGTAACAATACTTTGTGAATATATCATAGAAAAATATTTAAATCAAAAAAGTCAAAAAACCCTTGCTGCACAAAACAAGGAAGGGGAGGGGGCGGTCCCGTCCCGAAGCACCAGTGCATTCCTACCCCCAGTTATGTTGAATTAAGTTTACTTATCTTTTCATATTGAACTGTTGATGCAGTATTCATAATATTACGAATATCTATTATAAAGTAACTGATACAGAAGCCTGCTCAATAGTAATTTTAGTGAGAGCTCTGGAACGTAATTACTGGGGTGAAAACATGCCTATATATGCATGATATACCGAATCAATTTTTACCCCCCCCCCCCTTTCCGCTTTTTTCAATAATTATGTATTTTCTATGCTTTATAATGCTACTCTGAACTGCACGTGAACAAAAATGCAAATGTCAAAGACATAATTTACCTTTACACAGGTGGTTAGTATATGGAAACAGTTCTTTTCCCATGCGTTTACTTACAAAAGTCGTACAGGAAGTAAACAAAACAGGGACGGTGTAAAATTAGGATACGCCCGATTGCCGTCTCCAACGAAAACCAATAAAACAATAAATGTATAAATAAATATATGTATAGATAAATAAATAAATAAATGAATAAATAAATAAATAAATAAATTAATTAATTAATTGATTAATCAATCAATTAATTATTAATTAATTAAATTAGTGAATATAAAAATATACACATAGGTTCCTTTAGATAGAATGTTCTATCGTTAAAATGATAAATGTCCTACGGACCCGGTTTAACGATAGAATGCGTTCCGTGTATTCACAATGTAGCAAAGTAAACACGGGCGATAACTCGCACTAGTGCATTTACTATGAACAATCAAGTGAGTTCCGAACGTAAACAATGGCGAAATTTGAAGCGAGAAAAAAACGTTGAGAAAATTAGTTGAATATTTCGTCTTTATTTAGACTAAACTTTAGGTTTAAATACTTAAGCAGCTCCAAAAAGGTTTGTTTTGATTAATTTACAAGTTATTTTCAGTGCAAATCCGTTTGTATCCTTCAAAATCGTTTCGGTGCGATTCTGCAATTTTTTGCTACATTGCGAGTATATGGGTGGTATTCTAACTGTGATGAGGGCTTGTCCCGAGACACAGTTAGATTATTCTAACTAAGGTTCCTTATATTACATGTATTAAAAATTATATATATGCGATCCTCCGGTCAGGAAGGTTAAATCTTTATAATTAAATTAAATTACTAGAAATCGCACAATATTAAGGTATTTGGGTTCAAATTTGAAACCACCTATCCTACTGTGTTCAGTGATTTAGAATTGAAAAATAAATAAAATTGCTTACACGGTCAGATTTACTGCTTTGGTATGTTGTGTCAAATATAACATTGTTTAGTGTACTATTAATTTTTGTGTTTAACACATGTTTAATTGTAATTTTAATAGAAGGCCTCAAAGAAGAAAAGTGCTCGGACTAATTGAGCCTCCCCCCTTTCTTCAAATAAAGTACAAAAAAAATGTATCTTTATTAATACATGTGTTTAAGTCAGCATTAAATTCAATTTTGTGTATCAGTTGTGATGCTAAGCACATGGAAACACATGCTTTTATCACAAAGTAGTTTTGCGAGTCTGGAATTTCTATGATTTCTATAGTGATTTACTTACGGGGAAATGTATACAGATAACAAACAGTAGTCAACTCCAAAGTTTCTTAAAGAGGCTGGATGGTCGTGTCCATTTTTAGACTATTTTGATCTCCTTTAGAAGAAGAGCTCAATGTAAAGATATGATAAAATAATCAAATTTTAAAACTAACATTTATATGAAATTTTTCTTTGCCAAATGATAATTGACAGCTCAAGATATCATATCTAAAAAAATTAGTTATATCAATTTGGTGGTTAATTAAATAATAATCTAGCTGTTGACCTCTAGCCTCCTTAAAACGATAGAATTTAGGAGTTGAGCAAAGACGGACCATTCAAACATCAAAGGTAGGATCAGGTGGAATGGATGAGTGAACATTCCCTGCAGTCTCGTCACACACTCTGCATGTTTGATCCTTCTTATGATAAAGACAACGGAAAAAAACTGTCCAATGTGGAAATTATATCCTTACCAAGAAGAACAACAGTCAGTATTTCATTTACCAGGTAATAATAAATTCTATTTGCTGACAAGAGCATTGTATCCACTTAAATATAAAAAAAAAAAATACAAAGTCAGCTGGTACCAGTACATACAGTTTGGATTCTCTATCTAATTCTTTTTCACTTCTGAATTATTTAACACAGGAAAGAGAAAATGTCTTCTATTGTGTACAGATCTATTCCCTATAGGTTAAAACATGAAGTGATAAGTTATTAGTTATCATTAATATAAGATAGGTATAGTTCATATAACGAAATTCTAAGTCAGGGATCAAACAAATATCAATGTTTAGAATTATGTGTTTAACCAAGTGGTGAGTTTGAAAAGGACATGTTTACGTCACTCGTATTAAGAAAATTATTTATTCACAACACAATTAATGGATTTAATATATCAAAGAAAGCTCATGAGGCAACCTCCTTAAGAGTATTTAGCTTTCATAAAGAAAATTTATTAAGGTTAAATAAGACCACAAAACAACAAACAAATCACATTGATATTAGATAAGTATTAGATAATTAAGCAAATTCGCTATTTAATTAAGAAGATTCATTACCAACGTGTACCATACAATGGATATCAAAAATTATAGCGAGCTAGGGCAGCGAGCGTAACTTCGAGCTCTTAAAGCAACGCCTGAGCGTAGAGAATATTAACATTCAGACTGCTGCACATTCATTCGTCAGATTTTTGTTCCTCAGTAACTCTTGACCCACAATGCATCACTTGTAAATTTCTCTGTTAACTTTGTTGAAAATTATTTTGCATAAAACATGCATTGTACCAGTTAGAATGTGTATATTCACGTTTTCGTGCAACATAGTTGTATGGAACGCCAAATTAACATACATTCAAATATTTGTACCTATCTTCAAATAATTGCAACTATCTTCAAATAATTGTACCTATCTTCAAATGAATTAAAGATATAAGTTAGTACAAGTGAATTAAAGATAGATACAATTGGATTGAAGATAGGTATAAATAATTATACTTATCTCTAAATAATTATACATAGGCACAAATAAATTATACCTATCTTTAGTGGAATAACACTATTTTCAATTTAATTAAAGATATGGTCAATTGAATCATACCTATCTCTAACTGATTTAAAGATAGGTATAATTGATTTGAAGATAAATTCAATTATACTTAGGTATAAATAATTATACTCATCTTTAAATAATTATACATAGGCACAAAAAATTATACCTATCTTTAATGGAATTACACTATTTTCAATTTAATTAAAGATATGGTCAATTGAATTATACCTATCTCTAATTGACTTGAAGATAGGTATAATTGATTTAAAGATAGGTAAAATTGATTTGAAGATAAATTCAATTAAGACATATCCACAAAGGAGTTGAAGATAGGTACAATTCAATTATTCCTAGATTCAATTCGTTTTATGTTGTTGTAAATAATGAACGCTCCCTTGGAGACAATATTGAGTATGGAGGGAAACGCACAGAACCTACAGAGCGACGACATAAGGAATGAAAGAAGAAATAAAGATTAATAGAAAATGTACAAAAAGCCCCATATACTTATAAAAACATACATATCATGTAAGTTTATCTTGTACATGTATTGCAGACAGATGAAGATTCCGAAAAAATTTCGCGCCAGTTGTTAGGTATCGGAAACTACGTATGTTAAAGGAAGTAGTTGTTATTGCCTATATCTTAGTAATTTAAGATAGGTTCAATTCAATTGTACCTATCTTTAAATCAATTATACCTATCTTCAATTCCTTGCATTTGTACTTATCTTCAAATTAATTGTACCTATCTTCAAATGAATTAAAGATAGATATAATTGAATTGTACCGGTATCCATCTCTAATTCATTTAAAGATATGTACAGTTGATTTAAAGATAGGTGCAATTCATTTGAAGATATGTACAATTCAGTTGAAGATAGGTACAATTATTTGAGGATAGGTACAAATATTTGAATATATGTTAATTTGCTACTCCACATAGTTGAAGATTTTATTTTGCTCTCAGTGTATACGCTAACGTGCTTCATGAAATATATTACGACGTGAAGCGTCGTAGTTCATAACCCCATGAATCTTCAAAATATAATTTTTTTTCTTAAATAAACTTTTAGAGATCAATTGTATAATACTAATTCATTAAACAAAGCATAATAACAATGGACTTTTAACGTCCAAGAAAAATAACGTCATATTTCTGCATACTACGTCATCAGTTTCAAAGAGTGGTGATATGAATTCAGCGATACAGATAAGGTATATAATAAAATAAATAAATCATTTAAAAAAACACATTTAAACACATCAAGCTAGCCAATTTTATTCGGAAACAAATTATTCGCACATTTCATTTTCTTTGTTTATCAGCATTTGAAAAGAATATACATTAAGAAAAAACATCAACGACAAAAGGGAGTATCTCTAGTTAACCAAACACCTGCTATATCATATAATTAAAGAAATCACACATAAAATTATCAACAGGAGGCCCATGTGCCATATCGGTAACCCGAGTTATTTTGGTCATGCTATTTTTAAACATATTTCTTTTATGTGATACCTATTGTGGCACAATTACACCCCACGCATGGATTTGATTTTGAAATTGTAGATTCAACACCACCTTCCATGTAAGTTTCAGTCTTCGGCCCAAGTAATTCGTGAAAAAAAGACTTTCAAAGATTTTTACTTTACATTTCAATGTGAAATTGAGGTTCCCTCCTGTTGCGTAGCCTTAATTTAGCAATAAAAATGATCTACAAAAATGTACAATTTATATAAAGAATGACATGTGTTTTCTTAGTGACGCTTGATTAACATTTTGATCTCTGTTACAGAGTCCCCGTTCCTGACAGTTGGATACCACAGATTGTGCCAGTAAGCTGGGGCCCAGGGTCCGTTAAGGAAGGCCCAGTGGCAATTATTAAACCACCAGCCTCCCTCACGATAAGCAGCACAGCTACCTCCGCCCCATTTATCGTTATCCCTGTCTGGAGCACTGAATGGCATTCCTGACAGATCCTTGCCTTGGAAATTAGGGTTCAACATGCTGTCACCTTAATATTCAAAGAAACAAAATCGACAGAAAATTCAATTCATATCAAGTCTCTTCATTAATAATACTTGTTTACAGTGATTTAAATGAATAATGCACACGTTAAAAAGTCTTTCAAACATTACTCGAAATGACCTCAAGTATATCATGTAGATAATTCTCCCCTTTCATTTTGTGCTGTTAAAAACTATCTAATATTTATGTTAGATAGTTGTATTTCCCATTAAAATAGAAACCTCTCTCTTGCCTTCTTTGTTGTCATTAATTTATACTAACTCTCTCTCTCTCTCTCTCTTTCTCTCTCTCTCTCTCTCCTTTGCATTGGTACTCTACCATTTACTAGTACTTACCCAGGGTCCCATTGGCTGGTCCCCCGAGTAGGAGTCTGTAGTCATCTGTCTCATCAGCAATGGAGAATAGTTGATAGCGTTCATAAAAAGTGTTGCCATTTTGTAATGAAATGGAGATGTACAGGGACGAGTCATTTCCTTTGGTCAATTCATGAATCAAATCATTTCCTTCAAAAGATAATAAATATATGAGAGAGTATATATGTGTATGCCGTAGGTGTATGTTGTAGGTATTTTTTGCATTTTTATATATATCCTTGGTGTATTACTATCAAACATTCACTGGCTTAATGTATGTTGTTTTTGAAAGATGAATTATAACAAGATCATTGATATGTTTGGTTACTGATTCATAGGGGATTAGATACCTTGATATGTACAATTATGTGTTACATAAAATTAGTTTAAGTATGAGATAAAATTGAAATCCCTTAGAAATTCAGCAAATGTTAACGCTGCCATTATTTACAAAATAGGATCGTCTGAAATCCGAGAGAGGCCTTAGGAGTTTTGGTATGAAATTTCATTGCAAAAACTCAAAATCTTATTTCTTGAAATATTGCCCGAAATCGATAGTGTTACACACAGAGAGAATGCCTAAATAAACGACCTTTAACTTCGATGTTTTGACCTCAAAATCAATCTGGGTCCTTTTGCCACAGGACATTGTCATGTAATATTTCAGTGCAAAAGTTCAAAGGATTCTGAGATATAGCGCGGAAAAGAAAGTGTTATAACAGAGAGAATTTAAGAATCTATTACCTTGACCTAAAATCAATATAGGATTATTCTGATGGGCATAGGAAGTTGAGACGCGAAATTTCATTGCAAAAGCTCAAAGTTTTCTTGAGATATCGTTTAGAAACAATTAAAAGCCTTTTGTACAAACAGACAGAAGGACGAAAGGACGGACAGAGAGACCCAAATTAATATTCCCCACTTTCAGTGAAAGCGGGGGACAATAAACAATTACTCACCAATCCAATAAGAGTCGTTAGCCTCTCCAAAACCATTCTGGTAGTCCACCCACGATCTATTGAAACTCTCAGATCCACTCCCCCGTTTCTGTATTGCCTATAGGTTGTCATCGGAAAGAAATATGTAATTTGCTTTTTTTATATTCGGTTTTATTTGTTTTAATTGCTTTTCAATTCATTAAGTAATGAGAGAGAGAGAAAGAAAAAGAGAGATAAACAGAGAAATAAAAAGAAAAGAGCGAAATATCTTACAGTCCAACCTCCGCCCTCGGTTTCCATGTCGCAGTACACGGTGATATTGGTTTCGTTACGAAATGGATTTATGGTGTAGACTCCGGACTGTGTCTGTCCATGTAGAAAATGGCCCTTGCAATCTGTATTTATACCTATGTAAAAAAAAAAAGATTAAAAAAAATAAATATAGGACTTCAATGGTTTTTGGTAAGATGTTACTTTTTAATCCAACTAAGTGTGCGGTTTTATCTTATATATATATATATATATATATATATATATATATATATATATATATATATATATATATATATATATATATATATATATATATATATATATATATATATCTTAGTTGAATAAATGTATGGAGAGAGACATTCTAACAGTGACATTACCGTTATAAGAATATCATCTCCACTCGGTTTCATCAGAATATTTGTGAAAAAAGAGAGACATTCATCCACAGAGAATGAAAGAAGGATGTGGAGATACTAGTAACAAACAGTACTCAATCTCAATATCCTTTAAACAATACAAAATATGAGCTGAATTTCACAACATTTTTATGATAATTTTGTTTTTACACTCTATTTCACGTATCGTATAGTTTTTGTACATGGCGTCCTAACCAAGCATAGCATATACATGTACACATATGACGTCATCGATGGTAGATTTTAATCAAAAATATTTACATTTGCCAATGTCTTTCCTTATATGACAATACTAAAAAAAATGAAATTCAATTTTCGATGACATGCAGTCGGTCACATGATCAGACTTTCTTGCGTATGGAAAACAAACTGCACGTGCAATTTGGAAAGTTCCGACTGTGACGTCACATAACGCATAGCAACGTTACGCTGCATTTCAAAATCTAAATCCAAATAATGCTTATATTTGTTTGTAAAATGAATGAAAACGTAAAATATAAATATAAGAAATAAAATATCATTTTTAGAGTTGCATTGGGGTATGACATGAAGTCGGTACGTGATCAAATCTACTATAACGCCCTTCGGGCGTTATAGAATTTGATCACGTGACCGACTTCATGTCATACCCCAATGAAACTCTAAAAATTATATCTTATTTCTTAATTACAGATACAGCATAACAAAATAAGGACATTTTATTTATGTTAATATTTACACGATTCTTTTTTTGTACTAAAGTTAAATTACATCTCTGAATACCAAAATTAGGAAAACTTGTGTTCTAAAATTGACGTCATCTCTCCTACTATGATGTCATAATATAACACTGATGTATGCAAGATAGAATATTTTGTATGCTTCCTTATTACCCCTAAGCGACAATACATACCACTATAAGAATAGTATTTCCAACCGACTTCATCAGAAACTCCAGTGTTAAAGACCTTCTTGTGAAGACGGCATTTCTTTAATAAAGGATTGTATCCATAAAAACCGCAATCATTTTTACACAAAGTAGAACATAAACACAGAGACCCTGCGTTATATTCTCCTATCAGTTCGTTATCTGACTTTTTATTATCAAACTCCAGCTTTGCTTTATATTGCAGAGAAATATTGTCAGCTTGACACAGCGTACAAAAGAGGACAAAGATCGCACAAAAACGGCTCATATTATAGAGTGGGTTAAACATTACTACAGCGTTTCCATAAGAATCTGAAAGTGATATACCAGCTAACAAATATAAATGCCTTTTATGAATTTATGCACTATAGAATATTAGTGGTAATCATTGGTTAGTAGCTAAACAAGACAGATGATTGGTTAATCATTATAAATTATGCTCGGAGAGAGGGAACTTGAGAGGGAGTTTGTCTAAACGTTTTGCTAATGCTTCAATTTTGATTTTGTTTGTGGGTATATAAAAGCTGTAGATTCTTTAGTTGGTTATGATGATATCTTGATATGATCTACAAGAAAAGACTAATTAAATTCTGTAAAACAACAGTATTTTCTTTTTCGTCATTTAGGCAATGAATTATTATTTTTTGTAAACAAAATAGTCAACTGGCCAAATTCTCAGAGCTAAATTAACGAAATGAAGTGGTATTTATGTAAGATGTGTTTATTTTTCACAAAAAATGAAATTATTTATTAAAACTTTAGTACGTTTTAGACCCGTTAAAACCTAAATTTGCAAATCATATCGCTATCAAATTCTATATTCTACAATTATATTACCCTAGAAGCATTCGTATTTCTAAAGAGGTTTTATTTGACTGACATTGATAGCAAACTAACAAAAAATTCTGATATTTTCAACGTTTCAATCGTCAATTTTCCTTGTCTAATCTATTGTACATCCATCCTTACCCTTATTGAGTTCGAGTTTTCAATATTCCATACATTTTTCCATTTGTCTAATTGGGTCAAAGGACATGAGGAAGTGGGACAAAACGAAGCGGAAGCCAAATCCCCCACGACATCTGATCCCATCTTTAAGTTTTGATCATACAGTGCTTGTTAATTCAGCAAACAATTGCAAGCCGAAGTTTTCGCTATCGGCTATATCTTTGAAATGAATTTTGTTTATAATATGATTGTTAAAAAGTGTAATTGAAAAAAAAAACGAAGTGTAGTGGATCTCATTACATGTATACTAAAATAAAACAAATATGTAAACTGGGCATAAGACACAATTCCGTTGATATGCCAAAGAATCCGGAGGAGCTTTCACCCCACGTCACAAGATCACACCCTATATATGCATCTCATTTATTGATGTAATAAACCTTAGTCAGATCTTTCTTTTATACGTTGTATTTCCATTAGTGAACTCTTCAGAATTAGAGGCGCATTTGGTCGTCTGACTGGGACAGCATGGCATTGCGGATGATACAAAACATGCCAGTATCAATCGAATTTTAAATGTTAAGTGCATTTGTCATTCTAACTAAAGAATAGAACTATAAGACATATGTGAAAGAGCGAATACCCTAACTTTATCGTCCATTAATAAAAAATACGACATTTCCGAGGTATGTGTATCAATTTTAAATGTACCATCACCAATAGATGTAAATCAATATCCTTGTCATCTCTAATCTTGATTTAAATGAAGTCCACACCAATGAAATATTTCATATGCATTTCGTTAGGATTTGTTCATTGACATTCAACGTGTTGTTTACATGTTTATGTTACGTTTGTCCCAGAAATCTCGCGAGATTTGTACATTCTCCGACTTTTTCACAAATGAGCGCACTATAAGAACTATAACTCTTCAATAGTGGAAATAGAACGTATTTAAAACAATGGCATTATCATTAACTTAAGATATGTCGGTAAAACTCGGCACAATGGTATGTTGTGTTTGTTCATTAGTTTCATTATAAAGACCATGTATTTAACGAAGTAATTAAAGTGGAAACTTCATGTCAATCCCCATGCAGTCGTGATGTTACCACACATATACTAGTATTGTCTTTAGGCAATACAATAGCTAAATGTGAAGTAGATTAAGTGGTTCCTTTAACTTCAAGATAAGTTGGAGAAAAGGAAAGGACATGGCTAGAAGCAATGATTTTTTTATTGATAATATACCTCAGAAAGATCTATTTTTTCTCTCATGTTATTATGCGCAGATTTAATAGCAAATGGAGAAAAAAATTCAGGGAAGTAAGAGTTTATCTTAAGATTTTGTTTTAATCAAATCTTGAAAACATTTGGTGACAATAATAAAAAAATTTGGAGCATAAACAAATTCCCTTTTATTATAGTGTTGTTGTTTTTTTTTTGCCAAACTGTATTTTGTTGCCAAACAGGGAATGGGTTTGATACGAACATCTACTGTGCATTTGATCCCGTGCAATAAGTCTTCATCAATATTTAATTATATAGTTAGAGAGATAAAACAAAAGTATTTAGGAAAAGTTAATGTAGAGTTGGAAAAAAGCTCTTTAACTTCAGTCATGGTGTCTTCTTAACAGTTTTGTGAAAGGGAATGACTGCTTCTGATATAAACATCTACTTCTCTTCAAATATAAAATATGCACTCATTAGCAATTAGTCTTTATCAATATTGGATTCCAATTCTATAGTCTATAAAATCTTGTCTGCTTGCAAATGTAAGACAAATAGCTTATTCATTTTATAAACAAAGTGTTTAGAAAAAGAAATCCCAACTGACTACTTTTTTATGGTACGCTGCAGATTTTTTATGGAAAGTATAGAAAATGAGACCTTTTAAAAACTTTGATCCCTGAAACAAATCATAAAATAATATTATTTGATAGATATGCCTAATGAAGAAACACAGTCTTTAATAAATGAAAATTCTACAAATTCTATTTCTTAATTAATTTCTTATTAATTGCATTCTATGTACTGAGCCTTAGTACCAATCATTGTTTTGCAGTTTCCTCCACCAAACACTTTGGAATGTATCAATAATTAATCGCTTATAATTGACATTTATGTTTTCTTTCTTTGAGCAAATTCATTTTACTCAGGACACCAAAGTGCACAAAGGTTTATTTCATAACGAAAAACTATAACCCAGTTACGTTAACGTAAAATACAAAAATAATGCATTTTTTCTGTCACTTATTTTTCTCGCAATGTTCATTTGCGTTATATATATAGGGGGTCATGATTTGAACAAACTTGAATCTACACTACCTAAGGATGATTCCAGTTTCATCTTTCCTGGCCAAGTGGTTCTTGAGAAGAAGATTCTTTTAAAATGTCATGAATTTTTCTCTAATTCATAAGTATTTCACTTTGGAAAAGGGCGTGGCCCTTTATTTGAACAAACTGGAATCCCCTTTACCCAAAGATACTTAAGTCTTTGTAGCAAGTTTGGTTGTAATTGGCCCTGTGGTTCTTGAGAAGAAGATGAAATGTGAAAAGTTTACAACAACGACGACATACAAAGAAGATGGGCGCATTTGGCGTGCGATCTGCAGGAATCATTTGTACGAAACATTAATAATAATAATAATAATAATAATACTTTATTTAACCCCTTCCATGGCAAAGATTTTTAGCATTTTTAGAGAAATGATATCAAGATTTTAATGCATTTTTTCGGGTATTTCTTGTAATTTTTGTACATACCAATGTATATATATTCTGAAAGTAGGTATTGTGAGGTTTCTGAAAATGATAATGAAAACATTCTTTCTGTTGCCATGGCAACGAAATATGCCCAAATTATTGAGAAATCTCTATTTAACCTTCAATTAGTTATATATTAACTTTTTTAGTTCATTAAAGTATTTAAAGTAAGTATATTTTGATGTTGAGACATAGCAGCATATTGTTTACCCAAAGTTTTAATAAAATTTTAAGCACTTTAGGGAGTAAATACAGGATTTCAATATTTTATGCTCCAGTAGTGAAAAGGAAGAATAACGTTGCTTAACAGCTATCTCTCGCAATCATAGACCAAGTATTACTCATTCCATGTCTGAAAAATCCTTTGTTTGACAGACAACAAAACTTAGTACATGTACACTCATGACTGGTACCCCTTAGTAAGTACATGATGACCCCTTTTGAGATGGAGGTCAAAAGGTCAAAGGTCAAACTATTCAAAATATATAAAGATATTTAAGGAATGAAGTTAATTTCAACTTATGTTATACGATATAACATAACTTGGGGCAGTTTATTAAAAAGCGTAAACTGCCCCAAGTTTTGTTATATCGTATAATATAAGTTGAAATTAGCTTCATTCCTTATAATTTAATTTCAGTATAGACAATTAGACAATTTTTTTCCTCCAGAATATGGTTTCAAATTGAGCATTATTTTAAAAGTAACGTCAAGCGAAGTAATACGTTTTTGACGTAACTCATTGTGACGTAGGCAAGTTATGTTATCCAAAATATTATATGTTCCTCTGAATGATTCAACCTATGAAATAGCCTGATACAAGTGAAATTAAATTATTAACCATTCAAGATTTTGAAAACCCTTTGCTCAACAAAAAATATACGGTGCAGATCTAAGAAGTCTGATTTTAATTACATTGTTGCTTTTCGTACAACAATTTTTGTTCACTGTTATCCTCTGAAGAGTAAATTACTTCTGGTGATTTTTGGTTTGATAGAATGTTTGCCCCTGACCAGTCAACAACTATTTTCTTCACAATAACAAATTCTAAAGTTTTTTTCCAATATTGTCGTGCAGGTATGAATTATACCTGTATTTGTTTCTCGAACAATTCTAGTTTTTAATCACACTTTTTTACCCTGGTAGGAATGATCATAATTGTTAACAAGTGGTAAATACTTTCAAGTAAATATAAAGATAAAATTACACAAGCAGAAACTTAGATGTTATATATGGCTCTTGACAAAAAAAGAATAGAAAAAATCAAAGACTTTGAACTTTAATAATTCATAGACTTTTCAAATTTGAATGAAGTTGAACTTTGATCTATGACATAGCACATTGTTGCATAATTGAAAAAAAATTTCCTCTATGAGTAGACACCATCATTCTTAACTTACAAACTTAAGGAGATTTACAAAATAAAATCTTAGCTTCCAAAATAACATTTAGAAGATTTGATATGCCTCTATACACGGTATTCAAATTTTAAAATATAATGCGTAAAATTAAGGAATATTAACCTTGATCTTTGAGTCATTGTAATGTACAGTAATCCTATGTTTTATGTATTCCTGCAAGTGGCATCTCATACAAATTTTCCAAGCATGATTATGTGACTTACGTAACAAATTGATCTTAGAGATTAACATCAGAATGAAATTCCCTGAAACATCGTTCACTGCACAAGTGTTTGTTACACCCTTTACAACCATAAACTGTCTCCTTTCTTTTCTTTTCTCCGTGTTTGGTACACCATTTGCATGTTGACTTTAGGCGATCCAGATGGCAAAAAACATGAGGGGGGTCAAGAATACCCTGTAAATGATGGCCCCGCTTTCTTCCTCTGAAGCCTCCAATAAGTTGCTGAGCCACCTCCATCCTGAAATCCAGCAGGTCAAACCTTGTTTTGGCAGGAAGATCCTTACCAGGTGTTCTGGAAAAAATCTCAAATGCATTTATAAGGCAAACTTCCATGATAAAGTTGAAGAAAAACTTCCAGTATTTTTTGGATGGTCTGCCAACAGGATTCTTTGCGCTGTGTTGCATGCATCTGTCGACTCCACTCATATAACGTTGATAGGAAGATACTGGTGGAGGACACATAACCTCAACAAAATTTCCACCCCGAGTTCGACGGACAACTGGGCCATCTCCAAACGGACTACAATTAGTGCTCAAAATATGTACCTAACATAAAATTACATAGAGATATAGGCCTAACTGGAAATTAAACTTACGCTACATATAGATATATTTACTTCTTTGGGATTTTAAGATAAGCACTGAAACTATATTTGTACTATGAGACTTTTAACAAAGATATACAGAAAAAATTGCACAGGAATATCATTAATCAGATAGACCTTTATGTCCTCCTTAACTCTTTAGTTGAAAGTTTAATGATTGCAGGTAGAAGTGTAATTGTGATAAATGTTGCTATTTTTATTAAATTTTGAAACATAGTACATGTCTGTATGAAGACAATGAATATGTAGTAATACCGTTTTCTTATCTTTCCAAGCAGTGGCAAGCAATTGGTCGTGCTGCATCTGTAATGTCTCCCCTCTCCTTAAATCTGGATTTCTTAACTCTGGCGGAAATCCTTCTGAGTCGTTCTTTATTGTCCCACAACTAAAAATCCCATTCTGAAGCAAGGTTCGCACCAAGGAAATGGATGTAAAGAACCTGATATTATATAACGTATAAAAATATTAGACATTGGAAAATATGAAATTATTTTGATAATGAATCTTTTATCACTCAGTCTTGTTGTATAATGTTGAAGTCATTTTAAGTTGTTAAACACCAACCTGTCAAAGAACACATGATGGCCTTTGTATTTCAATGGTCTACACAAGTGTTTGACGACTCTTTCTCCTAGTGACTTTCCATGAAAAAAGTCATGTTTTCCCATATATGGCCAATAATCGTAGCAATACCCATCCTCATCACATCTCATGAATATCTGAAAAAAATATTTTGTTGCATCAAATTTTTTTTATAACTATTCACCTAGCATTTCAGAGACATACATTAGCCGGTGGACCATTTACTGGGGGGATGATTACCGTATATAATCGCCTATAAGTCAGATTTTTGGGAGTAAATCTATGGTCCAAAACTCTATGTCCGACTTGTAGGCTAGCTATAAAATGAATGGTATTATATGAGGTCAGTCCCTCTGATATATAAGCTTATTAAATACAACCAACTTATAGGCGGACCGACTTGTAGGCGAGTATATACGGTACCTGTCCTTCTCATCCATTCCCTGATCCACCTCATCATCATATAAAAAAAATCTTAATGCTTCCTTAGTGTTTTTTTAAATATGTAATTAATAATTTTTAAATAATTACATTATTTTGTGTATCACAATATCGATTTATTGAATGCAAATAGGCATTTCATTGATACAAACCTTAAAACCTCTCTTGACCGGTTTATTCGGCATGTATTGTCTTGCAAAAAATCTCCCTTTGTACTTAACCATGCCCTCGTCAATAGCCTGTTGCTTAGGTGGATTCATCTGACTCCGGAGATGTCCTTCTCGTCTCATCAAGTACAGGTCTTATTTTGTGTAATCTGTTGAAAAGAAATGTGATCACGTACTGACTTTATGTCACATCCCAATGAAACTCTAAAAAATGATATTTTATTTCTTATATTTATATTTTACTTTTATTCGTGTTACAAGGAAAAATAGGCGCTAGTTTGACATTGTTATAGAAATGCAACATAACGTTACTACGTCGTCATTATGACGTCACAGTCAAGACTTTCTAATAGTCTCCTGCGGTTTGCCCAACTGCATGTCATTGAAAATTGAATGTCAAAATTATTTATATTGTCATATAAGGAAAGACATTAGCAAATGTAAATATAAATCTATAAAACAAAATGAAGACACTAAACTAAAGTGATGTAAATCAGTGTCAATTTCATAACTGATTATTAGTTTTCTGTAACTAATATTAGTTATAATTAATTTAAGATCACTGTTGAATAATTTCTAGAATATTTATATTGATTAACTATTAAAATACAGAATTATAAATTGCATACCTGTCAAATTCAGGTGTTCCTCTGGCTCCCTGAGTAGTATTATCACTTAGATGGAAATACCGAGTGAGCTTTTCAAATCTTTTCAAACTCAGTTTTTCTTGAAAACCAATGTTACCTGCATATGATTGTAAATTTCACTTATCAACATGATCAATGTCAATTTTAAAAAATAAATTCAACAATGAATGGATTTTACCTCTAGAAAATGAGATAAGAAATAAAGAAACAATTTTAAATGACTTACACTGCCAATTCCAGAAGAGCACTAAGCAGGTGTAAAGTATTTTCATTTTATATTCAACATATTCCTCAATATTTAGAAAAGTTTATGATCCGAGTTGTTTCATGGTAAAGGTTTGAAGACATTGGTCAGCTCAACATCTACATATATATTGTTTGAATAGAAATACAAACATAAATTTAATACAAATGAAACAAATTGAATGGGTGTGCAATTTATAGACAAAAACAAAAATGTACAATACATTATGTTTATATCTTTGTTACACACACAAAACAAAGACAAAAAAGTAAACATTGTAGTCATGAAGGTTTCCAGACAATGTAAGACACAACAATTATGAACTTAACATAAGTTCATTACATGTAATATTATTTCTTTATTTTTAATTTTTATCAAGGAAAAATGGATCAGTGTCTGTTGTAAATATAATAAAATTTAATGTACTTTTCAAAGGAAATGACTGACAATATTTTTTTTTTCAAATTGTAACATGAACATTATCTGATTATTGTAAACAGAAAGTAATCTAAAGAAACAAAACAATATAGGTGCAAATTTTATCACTTACCGATAAACTTATCAGATGACCAATACATAGTGTATCTGGGAAGCTGAATAATCCCCATCAGAATTTGTAATCCGAGGAATGCCTTCATCTCGTCGATAGTGGTATCCGTCCAACCCTGGGCTCCACTCTGAGCAGCATACGAATTGGTGTTGTCCACAAGTACCTGTACCAGACTCAAGGGAAACAAGAGCAGGAAATATAACAGAGGATTTGCATCCGAAGAGAGCTGATGAGTGGAACCTGAAGTATCGATGAAGTCTGGAACATCAAAGTCTTCCACAACATCAGTCCAGAAGTCAGAATCTCTAATGTCGCTTGCCTGGCTGTCAAGGTCAAATAATGTCGAATCTGTGTCCTGGTTGTTATCGCTGTCTGTCTCACTTCCAAAGGAATGGTCGCTGTCTGAATCATCCTGATCAAAATCTGATCCAGATTCGGATGAATCGTCGCCAAATTCTTCGTCTGTATCTATATCTGACGATTCTGGGGATGAAGAAATGTCGCAAGAAGCCATATTGTTTACACGTGTTACGAATGTTGCCAAATATACGCAGAGACGATCCCGACAGATTTTCATAATATTTTCGCATGTTTTCTTTTTTTATCAAAACAACAAAACCATCTACTTTATTGTAAAAGTGGATATGTGGTTATGTATTTTAACAATTTTTTACTCGTTTTTTCTCTTCCAGGGAAATTCAAACATTTTTATATCCATATATCGTAATACGTACGAACGTAACTCTCAAAAATATTTTTTGAATTGGTCAACTAAAAACATTTTTTTATCATTATCTAACACGCGTATTTATATTTTAATTAGATAATTAGTTCCTAACACATCTAATTGAATAAACTAATTGGTTTTGATATTTTCTGAAGTTGTTTAAACGTGTTTTGCTACGAAAAATTGACAAGTGTTTGTACCGCGTGGATTTCGATCGCGGCAAATATCGCTTGAATAATACACGTTTTTTAACTCACAATACCAAAAAACTGGTAAATCAAATTAAAAAAAATTTACAACAAACTTTCTTTGCAATTGTTCCCTCTTTCTAATGATACAAAAATTATTTCAATATTTGCAGTATTAAAGAAGTTCTGAATATTTGTTTACAATCGACACGTTTTTCACGCCAGAGGCGTAGAAAACCGTATATGCCATGGAAGGGGTTAAAGAAGGTAACCTGATTAGTGCAAGCACTATTCTTCCCCAGGGCCTTCTGACAATTAACAATATAAAGATACATAGTTATACACATACAGACATAGTATAAATATAACATAAATATACAAATACAATTAAACATGAATCACAAATTATTCTCACAGTGTTTTGCATAATGTTTTACTTGTCTCTTGAAAGCATTAAGAGTTGGTGACATTTTTATGTGCACCGGTAAAGCTTTCCATAATATGGCGCCAGAGAACTGGAATGAATTTTCAAAAAGTTTACATTTATGGATTGGCACACACAAATCAACATTGGATTCAGATCGAAGAGTATATTGGTTATTAATTTGAAATTGAAACATTTCATGCAAATACATGTAAGTAGGACAATAATTAAAGACGGATTTATATAACACTACATATTTATTTACAGTAAGCTGTTCATAAACAGTAAGACAATCAAGTTTATCAAAAAGAGGTCTTGAGGGTGCATCAGGGGAGCATCTAAAATATACCTTGCAGCACGTTTTTGATGTTTATTAACTCTGTCAAGATTTGATCTGGACGTATTTCCCCAAATTGTTAGGCAGTAGTCAATGGTAGGCATGATGTATGCATTATAAAACAATTTACGTGTTTCAAGAGGCAGATATTTTTTTTTAATTCTACGGAGTCAAGAAATTTTACGTGACAGAGTTTTACACACATGGTCGATATGTACATTGTATTGTAAAGAATTATCTAATATACCCCAATATTTTTTCATATGATACATTGTCTAATTTCTGGTTCGAACCGTATAAAGGAAAATCATGGTTTAAGAATTTTGATCTCTTCTGATGTGTACCTGTTAAAATACATTTAGTTTTTGAGGCATTAAGTATCATTTGATTTTGAGTGCACCATTTTTCTATACAAGCAATATCCATTGATAATGAATGTACTATAGATTTCTTTAGGGAATCTTTGCCGGAAGCATGTAAAGTGGCATCATTGGCAAACAAAACTTTGTTTGAATTTTTGATATAAAATGGAAGATCATTAATGTACAATAAAAACAGAAGAGGACCAAGTATAGACCTCTGTGTCAAACTCCCGCTGTGACTTGCTGATAAGATGATTCTTTGTTAGACAGATGGACACTTTGAAATCAGTCACTTAAATATGATCTAAACCAATGCAAAGTTATTTCATCAAAATTATAACATTGTAGCTTTTTAAGAAGAATTTCATGATTTACTAAGTCAAATGTCCTACTGAAGTCGAGAAAGACAGTACCAACAAGTTTACTTTGGTCCATTTCATATAATCATTAATCTGTAATTTTTGTAAGCCTTACGGCTGTTTGACAGGAATGCAATTCTCTGAAACCTGATTGAGAATCTATTAAAAGATTTTTTTTTTATTTCAAGTCTATTTAGGTAAAATAGTAATCGATTAAAGTCATATTCGTTGTCACATGTTTTCCTATAATTTTTGATAATGTGGGTAAAATAGAAATTGGTCTGTAGTTATTTCGATCTAGCTTGTTTCCCTTCTTATAAATTGGTGTAACTTTGGCAAGTTTAAAACTTTTCGGGAAAATACCTGTAGTAATACTAGTATTTATTATATGGGTTATAGGTCTATGTGTTATTTGTGCAGTAAGTTTGAATAAACGTGGACTGATGATATCTACACCTTATGATTTATTAACATCCAGTTTGTTTAGTAAGGAAAGCACTTCGTCAGGGCTAATAAGCGGGATACAAAACATTTCTAATCCCAATTTAGACTACATAATTTAAAAGGCAATCGAAATCACACTCTTCTTTATTTACTTCATCAAGGAGTTTAGCAGAGACATTTGAGAAATGGGAATTAAATATCTCTGCAATTTCTTGTGTATCTTTGTTACATTATTATTTTGTTCAAGTGCCGTCCGACTATAGTTTTTTGGGAGTAGAAGCTAATATGTTTAATGCATCCCACATCTGGCGTGGATTTTTGTTTTGCTCTAAAAATGAGTTATAATAATTAATTTTTGCATTTTCAATTAGTGATGTTGCTTTATTTCGCCATAATCTGTAGTTTTCAGTAGTCCTTATTTTTATGAAAGTTAATGCGCTTGTGCTGTGCTTCAAGAATATCTTTGGTTAACCATTTTGGTCTTGCATCATACTTCACTCTTTTAGATTTTATTTTTGCATGTTTGTCTAGTACAGCATTAAAAAGTGAATAAAATTTATTTAATGCATCGTTAGGATTAGAGAGTGAATCTAAGGATTGAAAATTAACTTTTTCCAGGTCTGAGAGAAAGTTTATTTCATTAAACTTCTTGAAGTCTCTATATGTTATCTCCGTGTGCTTATACTTCTTAACATAATCATGTAATTTTCTTGTAAAACAAATAGGATAGTGGTCAGAGATTGCAATTGGTAGTACTACAGATTCACATATGTTCTCAGGTAGGTTAGTATATACATGATCAATTAGGGTTGAGGAAACATTTGTTATTCTCGTGGGTACATTAATTATCTGTGAAAAGTCATATTCTTCAAAAGCAGAGGTCCAGTATCTTGGGGGGTCTTTCATCAGATCAATATTAAAATCACCTGTTAAAATAACTTCAGCATCGTCACAGCGGGATGCAAAATTTATCTCCCGTGTTAGACTTTCTACCCAGCAGGTGGTGGCAGATGGGGGCCTATATGCGGTACAATAAAAAATGGTTTTGAATTTGGGATGTTAAATTTCAAGCCATATTGTTTCTATGTCACCGATTTCAAAATCATTGCGACGTGTACCGGGTATAATACAAATTATTTGAGATATATACAATTATTCCTCCTCCTGATTTCCCTTACCTATCTCTTCTCTCAAAATTAAATCCATCAATATCTAATTCACAATTGTCTGTCTGTACATTCAAAAAAAGTTTCACTGATACATGTACCAAATACATCAATAGAATGATAGCCTGATAAAAGAAGCTTAAGCTGGTCAATTTTAGGCAAGATGTGACATATATTTAGATTCCCAAATCTAAGACCTTTTTTGATGAGTCCAAAATTAAATGAACTTGAATTTTTCTTCTGTGGTTTCTCATTGATTTCAGGATTTAGTAAGTTTGAATTTTCCTTTGATGAACTGGTAGTTTGGGATGTACATTTATGAATTTTCCTAGGAGATACATTTTTTATAGAACAATTTACATCATTTTCATTATTATAACGTGTATAGGATTTAAAACCTTGACTTGATCTAAGTAATATATTAGTATTGTGTGAATTACAGAGATATGAGCATTTACATGATATTTCACCACATTCACCACAAAGATTAACTAAAACACTAAAGGAGTTTGATTTCAAGAAAAATGGTTTTTCGGCAATTTCCTCTTTGCCGAATTCCTAATAGGAACAGTGTTTTGCCTTATGTCCTGAAGAGTTGCAGATCCAGCAAACAATTTTACATCCATGCCTACAATTCCGTGAGGAATGACCATTTTCACCGCAATAATAACACACATTCACATTTCCATTTTGTGTACCATTCTGATGGCAAGCTTTGATGACCGGAATGTGCGCATTATAGGAATTCAGTAGTGTAGATGTTCCCTTGTCGGATATGTGAATCTCATCTTTACAGAACATACCTGATGACTTGAACTTATCTTGTAGAGAGATCATGTTGACACTATATTCCTAACAGACAAATCTTATCATTTCATTCATGTGGGTAACATCAGCATCTCGTCATGGTGGTATCCCCGATATGAATATTTCGGTATTTGGAGACCTCCTCTGGATTTCGAGCACAATTTCAGTGAGATGACATTCACTGATCTCCAATTCCCTGTCGCTGGCAGCATCATTTCCCCCGGCAAGTACGATTATTGAGTGAAAGGACGAAAGATTGGTTTTCTGGAGAATTCTCCTGATTTCTGACAGCCGAGCCCCTCTGTTTGTTCGGACAGCAACATGCCTCAATAATCCACGGGTTCTTATTCGTTGGAGGATAGAATCACCAATTATCAATACTGACTTTCCAGATGGAACGTCTGACTCCAGTTGCTGGTTCTTGCTGGGTTTATTTTGATTTTTTTTTGGTTTTTCTGATCAGTTTCTGGGGATGTTGACGAATCTGTTGTCTCCTCTCTAGAACACTGTGTGTGTCTGGTTATACCTAGTGATTTGGAATCCTTTAGGTCCCTTGTGTCAATAGCTTTAGTTTTTGTTACTGGCTCCCTTGTTTGGGTAGTTGCGTCCACAGAATTTTTATTTTTTAACTGTAGAGATTGCAGCTCCAGCTTAAGTCTAGCAACTTCTTCGGAGAGATTAGACACAGTCTTTGTTAGTT